AACCAGACACACACATCGTGTCGCATGGTGGGGCCTCAAAACACTATCTCGCGGCTGGGACCATAACTTTCTCCTCACCATGGACAGTGTTCGCACATCTCCTTGGTCGCTTCACCGATGCATCGTCCACATCCTAACTGCACCACACACAAACTTGGAATGTGCTCCCCCGTGTCTTGCTTACATTCAAAATCATAGAAGACGTATTTGACATTGTCTCGTTAGATTTGGTTGTAGCATTCTTCCCCCTCTTCCTCGTTGGCTTCACGGAGAGGTGTCATGTAACAGCGATGGTCTGGGGTTCTCGGCACACTAAGCAGGGACGCTCTTCATCTGAGCACTCGTGATGAGCCATGGGGGTCTCCAAGACGCAGACCACCTGATAACAGGTCGGGCACCTTTGAATCGATTGACAGGCGCTGGGTTTTCCCTCTGACGGTGACTGGAGATGTTGGGTGTAACAGTGTTGATTTGATCCTAGCCTGTCGGGATCTGCTACGTGTACTAAAGTCACAACCATGGTGGCATCGATGTTCAGGGCTTTGTTGGACTGCATGTAAGATATCTAGCCCATTGAGATCTTCAAAGCGACGAAAGGGAATGCGTATGGGAGTGTTCAAAGCAGGGTGGTTTATACCTAGACCAATACGATCTCCTCTCTGGCCTGACATCTGTTGATAGTAGTCATCGATCATCCTGTCAAATAAAGCCGGCAGTTCTATGGGAACACGGTCCGGTGGTACGGTGTCCAAGAAGTCTGGGGTGAAGGTCAAACGATACGTATGGTTAGCAGTTCTTAACAGTCTGGATCGTGTTGTGTTTCCTCTCCAAACGATAGGGAGTACTCTGCTTGTCCATCATGATGGCGATGAGTGCCTGATGAACGTCAGCCCTTCCTTTATATAGAAAACCAAGGTCTCTGATTGGTTGAAATCTGACCAATCAGAAGTCAGCACCGACCAATCAGAAGACAGCACCCGAGCCGAGTTGTGCTTTCTCTCCCATGGAAAATGTATTTTTTTTCCTATGAAAAAAACAAACACAAGGTTTGGACCAATTTGGAAAACCGAGTCTCAGTCCAGGCACCGAAACGGATCCATCGGCGTGTCGCTTTTTGGACCCATCAAAACAGGGGCCCTTTCGATCCACTCTAAAAGTTGAAAAAATGAATTGTGTTGTCTTTTTAGGATTGGGAAATAAGCATGCTCACCCCAGGGAGAAAAACAGGTTACCCATCAGAAGCTTGGGTTGTCGTCCAATCAGGAAACAGAGTGTCAGTGCCTTAAAACCAATAGACGCTCCCTTGTCATCATTTTTCCTATGGAAAAGAAACACAAGGGTCGGGTCGGTTTGGAAAAGCTGGGTGAAAGTCGGAACGGTCCAATCAGCGCGCAGCGTGTTGGACCAATCAAAACAGGGACCATTACGATCCGCTCCCTGCATTCCTGCATGTCGGTTCACCTTTAGAATTCAGGCGTCCGTTCCACACCATGATCGTAGCGCTAAGGTGATCGCCACTCACCTACTGTAACTTAAACGAACGACAGTCCTTGTGCTACAATACGATCGCCTTGTGGAGCAAAACCTTGCACCTCAAAGTTTACAATCACGTCATCATAGTCGATGATGTCATTTGTGGAATGTTGTTGCAAGATCCTATCCGCCGATGTGGTGTCAACAAAGTGGCTGGGTCATCGACTGTGTATTATAACTGTTATAAGCTCGTCTCAGTGATCTATCATCTCCACACGCAATCGACACCCACCCTGCTTGCTTTGCCAACACAAACAACAACAATCCAAAAGAATCCACACCCTCCCCCCAGTCCTCTTTGAGGCACACGCCTGCCCGTCACACCACGTCTCTATGTATGTTTGTATGTTTGTATGTATGGTTGTGTACACGAGTGGCATCACGTTTGCATGGAGACACGAAGTACATCACGTTTGCAAACGTCACGCATGTGTATCGATCTATACTTCTACGTGTGTTTGTAGTCACGCATGACACTACGTTTGCATGGAGACACGAAGTACATCACGTTTGCATGAAGACATGAAGTACATCACGTCTGTTTGAAGACACGAATGACAGTACGCATGTAAACATACACGAGTGCCGACTCCTCGGTATAAATAATAATCATATTTATAAAAGTCTGTTTGTAGTCACGCGTGACACCACGTTTTGCATGGAGACACGAGTAACAGTACGTAGGCATATATACCTACATCACGTTCATGTCTGTGCATGCCGATTCACCTTTAGAATTCAGGCGTCCGTTCCACACCATGATCGTAGCGCTAAGGTGATCGCCACTCACCTACTGTAACTTAGACGAACAGCTGTCATATTGGGCTACAACACACGATCGCCTTGTGGAACGAAGCTTTGCACCTCAAAGTTTACAATCACATCATCATACCCGATGACATGATTTGTGACATGTTGTTGCAGGATCCTTCGCCGAAATGACGTCAACCTAGCAACAAAGTGGCAGGGTCATCGACTGTGTATTATAACTTTTATAAGTTCGTCTCAGTGATCTATCATCTCCACATGCCATCGACACACACACGCACACACCCTGCCACACCCTCCTCCCTCCCGCCTTCCTCCTCCCCCGTCTCTCTCCTCCTCCCTCCCCCTCCTCCGCCGCTGCCACTTATCCCTAGGTAAAGTAGTCATGTAAGTTAGCATTGGGGTTCTCTTGTGTTGCTTTGTCTTTAGTGACCTGGTCCACTCGATGGCGACTTGGCCAGTGATCGTCTCTGAAGCATGTGGCCAGATCTTTAGCCTTAAAATGTCTCTTCTCTGGTCACTGCTGCTGCATTACAACTCTGCATGATTCACTTCACTGCACTGACTGACTGGGGCAAGCTAGTCTTCTTTAGTATTTATATTTATCATAAGGAGGTAAGGAGGTGTGTGTGTGTGTGTGTGTGTGTGTGTGTGTGTGTGTGTGTGTGTGTGTACTGATGGCTGTTCTGAGCCTCATATCCCCACAGGTAAATGCCGTTCTTCCGCCCTAGATGTAATACCTCTGTTATATATACAAATACCTATGTTTTATACTCGCCGACAAAAGACACGCGAATGCCATACATGTTGGTAAATATATGAAGAATTACTCATATTCAAGAAATATTATAGATTGATTCGAAAAACAAACGAACAAACTGGTATGTTGTGTGAATCGACGCTTATGAAAGCATCACATGTGACGTCATAGACCCATGACTCGAGATGCACCATTTGGCCTCATGCAGGATTAGCGTGTAAAGTTGGCTGATTATTAGTTTTCTCATTAAGTGGAACGCATTGGAAACATCTCTTCTCAACGCAAAAACGTCTCTATGTTTCTATGGTTCGCGTTTTTTTGGCGTTGAATATACATTACAAAGAAACATATCCAACACAACACACACGTACACATATCATCCAACACAACACACACGTACACATATCATCCAACACAACACACACGTACACATATCATCCAACACAACACACACGTACACATATCATCCAACACAACACACACGTACACATATCATCCAACACAACACACACGTACACATACCATCCAACACAACACACACGTACACATATCATCCAACACAACACACACGTACACATATCATCCAACACAACACACACGTACACATATCATCCAACACAACACACACGTACACATATCATCCAACACAACACACACGTACACATACCATCCAACACAACACACACGTACACATATCATCCAACACAACACACACGTACACATATCATCCAACACAACACACACGTACACATACCATCCAACACAACACACACGTACACATATCATCCAACACAACACACACGTACACATATCATCCAACACAACACACACGTACACATATCATCCAACACAACACACACGTACACATACCATCCAACACAACACACACGTACACATATCATCCAACACAACACACACGTACACATACCATCCAACACAACACACACGTACACATATCATCCAACACAACACAACACACACGTACACATATCATCCAACACAACACACACGTACACATATCATCCAACACAACACACACGTACACATATCATCCAACACAACACACACGTACACATATCATCCAACACAACACACGTACACATATCATCCAACACAACACACACGTACACATATCATCCAACACAACACACACGTACACATATCATCCAACACAACACACACGTACACATACCATCCAACACAACACACACGTACACATATCATCCAACACAACACACACGTACACATATCATCCAACACAACACAACACACACGTACACATATCATCCAACACAACACACACGTACACATACCATCCAACACAACACACACGTACACATATCATCCAACACAACACACACGTACACATATCATCCAACACAACACACACGTACACATATCATCCAACACAACACACGTACACATATCATCCAACACAACACACGTACACATATCATCCAACACAACACACACGTACACATACCATCCAACACAACACACACGTACACATATCATCCAACACAACACAACACACACGTACACATATCATCCAACACAACACACACGTACACATACCATCCAACACAACACACACGTACACATATCATCCAACACAACACACACGTACACATATCATCCAACACAACACACACGTACACATATCATTCAACACAACACACACGTACACATACCATCCAACACAACACACACGTACACATATCATCCAACACAACACACACGTACACATATCATCCAACACAACACACACGTACACATACCATCCAACACAACACACACGTACACATATCATCCAACACAACACACACGTACACATATCATCCAACACAACACACACGTACACATACCATCCAACACAACACACACGTACACATATCATCCAACACAACACACACGTACACATATCATCCAACACAGGAAGTTGGCTGCAGTAAGTTATTTTATTAATAATTTGTAAACACATTTACATGAAGGTGATAACGATTACTCGATTTGCTGTTGTACATGGTCGATATTTGTATAAAGGAATTCTTTATTGAATCAGTAAGACCTATTTCAAAAGCGAGCAGCACCGAAAGGATGCAAGAACGAAATAAAACCACCACACACAGGAGTCCGAGTATACATAATGCTTATTCATAATACTGACTTAAATACACGCAAACCAAACTGATGTTTGAACTATTTAGCCATTCTATAGTAGTGTTCGTTTTTTTCCAAGTAAGAAAGATATGACTATCTGTAGTAGGCGCATGTGAAAACACGCCTTAATTCGCGATAAAGTGACTTTGTGCAACATTATGTCTTTTGTCTTATGTTTTGTCGTTGTTTATAGCACGTAGAGAATGGGATTGTTCGTACGTGGTTCATATAGTCACGGGACAGTGCCATTTTCTTTATTTGTCTATGGATCCGAGTTGATTGTGTATGGACGTGGAATGCCCTTAGAACCACTCAGAAGTCTATTATGGAGTCTAGATTCCGGGGGAAAGAGAACAACATGGATTGTTTAAATATGTACAGATGCACCAAGTGGACAAGACATATGTAAGCGTGGTTCTTTTAGACATTTTCAACACCGCCAGCGCTCATACGGCGTGTCGCTGATTTTTCGGAATTTCGCTTCATCAAATAGTTGAACCTGTCCTGGATGGTGGGAGAGGCTGTATACGGTTGAACTGAACGGTGAATACTACCCGAAACGCTGTCACATCTGCTTCCGGTGACAACGGAAACCACGTTGTCCAAACCAAGCAATGTTCTCATTCCCAGGAAAGCGAAGACCATAGCTTCTTTGAAGTTAATCGTGTCGTCGTCGGTTTTCTGGACCTTAATTCCACACTGTTTCAGTTTCCCCACTAGTAAATTCATGAGGTATTTATTAAACGCCCCGCCGCCCGTGATGAGAACAGTCTGCTCACTACTCTCCACCTCCTGAGAGCAGTCGGCGCATGCCTTGGCTATTCTGTTTGTAATGTGTTCTACGAATGTCCGCTGCATGTCTGCCACAGTGTACAGCTTGTCCTGAAACAGAAGCTAAATATACAGGTTTGTGTAGCAGCAACGCAGGAATACATGAGAACTATAAACACACAGTCCTATAAAGTTATAGTCTTGGACTCTTTTGCACGAATTGTGTTGATTTACAGGCATGAGTGAGCATTGGTGGTGCCTATGCCATATCTTCCATCGACTGCATGCTTCTCAAAGGTTCTACCGCACCATTAGAACAACCATATCTGAGAATCGGGCACAGGTCAGTTTTAGGCTGGAGCAAGGAACATTGTGTCGGCCCTATAAGTATACTGTATGATAGCCGTACATCAGCTTCTGCAAACACTGCATAACAGCAGAGACCATAAAAAAGAATCTATGTTTTGGTCTCTGATAACAGTACACAAACACTCGGGGCCGTAAAATACTCAATGCTGTAGGCCCGAGGTTTCACATACACTGCATGACAGAACAGTTTTAACTCAATAATTGAACATTTGTACTGGATGTTTGTCCGCAAACACCGGTAGCCAAGTGATGACGTAAATCCTGTTGGGGTTTCGTGCCGGAAGCTGATGTACCGTTCCCATATAAGTGTCCTAAGTTCTGGTTGCGGGTGGTTTATAACCCGTTTCAAACATATAGCGTCTTCCACGTAGGGCAGATTTCATTTGCCGGAAGAGGAAATAGTCACTGGGGGCTAAGTCTGGGCTGTAGGGTGGGTGATTTAACTGTACAGCCCAGAATTAGACCCCAGTGACTATTTCCTGTTCCGGCAAATGAAATCTGCCCTACGTGGAAGACGCTTCCAGGATGACGAGGCCATGAAGGATGCCACATAGGCGTGGTTAGCGGGCCAATCTGCGGATTTCTATAAAAGTGTAATTAAAAGCTTGAAGGACAAATGGAATAAGTGTATTGAGGGGAATGGAGATTATATTGAAATATGAAAGTGCAAAAGATATTCTGCGACTTGGTCTTATATTGAAGTTGCAAAACTTATTGAATGCCCCTCGTATGTTTGACAAACTGCTTTTATAAAAAAACACTTTGATGTACTAATGGTATGTTGTTTTACATGAAAAAATCTAGCACTTGTTCTCGATGCTATATATGGCTGAAACTCACTCACTCATTGAATGATAGACCCCGATGCGCTGTGATAACTGGACTGCCGGGCTGCTTTCAAGCTAGATTATCAAACTTATTTTGCTGATAGGTAATTGCTGTTTACATAATTTAAGTCAACAACTGCAGGGAAAGGGTGTCTACACGCTCTCGGAGTTCAGGGGTAAAACCTACAACAAAGTAACGTGACAAAAGCGTCTTACATCCAGAAGTGGGAATATTTCCTTGTCGATCCACTCGATGCCCAGTGATTTTGGTGGCGGTTCCTCGTAGTACTCCAGACACTCGAGCTGCTGCAGGAGACTGTCCTTGACCACCCCACGTGACGCAATCTCGCCGTCCACATCGTACTCGCGCGCTCCGTCGAACTGTTTGGCCAGTTTATTCAAGACAATATTGCATGGGCAAATGTCAAAACCCTTCCTTCCTTTCTGTCCAACATTGGCGATACCTCCAAGATTGATACACAAATCAGCATGACTGAACAGGAACTTTTCGCCCGAGGGTACGAGCGGTGCCCCTTGTCCTCCAAGGGCCAAGTCCTTGGCTCGGAAGTTGCACACAAATGGGCATTGTAGGTACGTAGATGTCGTCTCGCCATCCCCGAGCTGAAACGTAAAACTGCTCTCAGGTTGATGGAAAATTGTGTGACCGTGGGACGAAACGAAGTCCACCTTTATTCTCTCTTTCTCAATGAACTGTTTGACAGCGTCGCCTATGAAATGACCGTAGTCGAAATGCAACTTAATGAGATCCACGCCGGCTAGTTTCGTGGCCCGTCTCAGCTTGTCCGTCCATTCCTCGCCATAGCACACAGTGACAGCTCGCTCTATCCGGTATCCCCACACATCCGTTTCGATGTCGCCTGTGAACTCCACATAGCATATGTCCAGGCCGTCTAAGGACGTACCCGACATCACACCTATGCCTTTGTACGACGCCATTACTCAATACGTGCACATGTAAAAGTCCCAACACGTCGATATGTGTGCAGCGGGGTCAGGTCGCACAATGAGGAGTTTACATGTCGGTGTGGGACAGCAACGCAGTTACACAACATATAGCTGATAGGCGAGATGTTGCTGGGTCAAGGTTGGTTAATTCGGTGAAAGGACTAAAACTGATAACAAGTTTAAACACAATAAACCAAATACAACACAGAGTAAAGGTCTTGTTCGGCATTATTGCTATGCATTACTGCATGGTGTCTATTAATCGTACATTCATTTTAGGACTGATATTTTATTTAAAAAACAAGATAAATGATTGACAATATATTGCGTAGTTACGTGAATCTTGTTCAAATGAGTGAATAACTGACGGGGCTCCCACACATGGATATGATTTAATTCCTGGTCCAGCAAGTGGAGAATCGCCAATATTACAAGCTGTCGGGTACGCGGAATAGGGAATTGCCTAAAAGTCGGGCCGGGCCGGGCCGGGCCAAAGTGTTATTGGCTAATTACTTCATTATCGGCGATCATATCTACATATTATTGTTGATGCAACATACACACATGACACTACTGAACAATCACCAATCCAAAACGTGCAGCATAATTAAGTAATTCGGAGTAAATCACTTAAAAACTAGAAAGTGGAGCTATGTGTTAGCGTCGCTGATCTAGGTAACATGTAGCAATCGTTAAACGAAATAAGATTTGACACGTATCAAATACTTCTAGCTATCGTGATACGAATTTCCATCTGTCGACATAGCGTTTATATTATAGGAACGTACTATATCTAAGTAAATACCACTTTATAACGTCACTGTTCATTGTATTTAAAGCAGACACGATGGTTAAAGTAGACCTCTTCTCCCTATACTCTCAACAGTCACACAGTTCGCTCCGACTTGGCCCGGGCTGTCAAAATCAACTTTAAACAGACAGATGTATCTTCAAATGTGATTACCTCTATAGATTAGTGTTATATCTACATATACACCACTTTATAATGTCACAGATCGCAGTATTTATAGAAAACAAGGGGCTCAAAGTGAAGCCCTTTTCCCTCTACATTCTCAACATAGTCTCTATCAGAAGTGTTTGGCTTGTGTTGGGTCCGACTTGGCCCGGGCGGTCAAAATGCACTTTAAACACACAAATGTATCATCAAATGTCTTTAAATCTATAGACTAGCATTATATATACCTATATACCACTTTATAATGTCACAGTATATCGCATTCAAAGACAACTGGGCCGTTAAAGTCAAGCTCTTTTACTGTATTTTCTTGAGAGAATCCCTGTTAGAAGTGTTCGGTCCGACTTGGCCCGGGCGGTCAATATCAACTTTAAACACACAGATGTATCTTCAACTGTGATTACATCTATAGATTAGTACTATATCTACCTATACACCACTTTATAATGTCCAGGTATATCGCATTTAAAGAAATCTGCGCCGTTAAAGTGAAGCATTTTTACTGTATTTTCTTTAAAAAATCCAAGTCAGAAATGTTCGGTCCGACTTGGCCCGGGCTGTTAAAATCAACTTAAACCTCACAGATGTATCATCAAATGGATTCACATCTATAGATTAGTACTATATCTACCTAAATACCACTATATAATGTCACAGATGGCTGTACTTAAAGAAACAAGGTGCTCAAAGTGAAGTCCTTTTCCCCTCTACATTCTCAACATAGTCTCTATCAGAAGTGTTTGGCTTGTGTTGGGTCCGACTTGGCCCGGGCGGACAAAATCAACTTTTAACACACAGATGTATCATCAAATGTCTTTAAATCCATAGACTAGCATTATATCTACCTATATACCACTTTATAATGTCACAGTATATCGCATTCAAAGAAAACTGGGCCGTTAAAATCAAGCTCTTTTACTGTATTTTCTTGAGAGAATCCCTGTTAGAAGTGTTCGGTCCGACTTGGCCCGGGCGGTCAATATCAACTTTAAACACACAGATGTATCTTCAACTGTGATTACATCTATAGATTAGTATTATATCTACCTATACACCACTTTATAATGTCCAGGTGTAACGCATTTAAAGAAATCTACGCCGTTAAAGTGAAGCAAGTCGGACCGAACACTTCTGACATAGATTTTTTAAAGAAAATACAGTAAAAATGCTTCACTTTAACGGCGCAGATTTCTTTAAATTCGATACACCTGGACATCATAAAGTGGTGTATAGGTAGATATAATACTAATCTATAGATGTAAACACATTTGAAGATACATATGTGTGTTTAAAGTTGATTTTGACCGCCCGGGCCAAGTCGGACCCAACACAAGCCAAACACTTCTGATAGAGACTATGTTGAGAATGTAGAGAGGAAAAGAGCTTCTTTTTGAGCACCTTGTTTCCTATAAATACTGCAATCTGTGACATTATAAAGTGGTGTATAGGTAGATATAATACAAATCTATAGATGTGAATCCATTTAATGATACATCTGTGAGGTTTAAGTTGATTTTGACAGCCCGGGCCAAGTCGGACCGAACATTTCTGACATAGATTTTCTTAAGAAAATACAGTAACAATGCTTCACTTTGAGCACCTTGTATTCTTTAAATACGATATACTGTGACATTATAAAGTGATATATAGGTATATATAATGCTAGTCTATAGATTTAAAGACATTTGATGATACATCTGTGTGTTTAAAGTGCATTTTGACCGCCCGGGCCAAGTCGGACCCAACACAAGCCAAACACTTCTGATAGAGACTATGTTGAGAATGAAGAGTGAAAAAGGCTTCACTTTGAGCTCTGTGTTTTCTTTAACTACTGAAATATGAGACAATACACGGGTAAATAATTAGATATAATACTAGTCTTTAGATATAAATAATGTTAGGAACTTTAGAAGTGCTTGCAATTGGACAGTTATTAACACGTGTCGTGTCAGTCCTTTGACATTCGCGAATATCCACTTCCAGAAAAATCCTGTGTTGGTTTAACACTTATTAGTAAAGGTTAATTACCTTAACACGTTAATTAATGAAAGAAGAGTAGATAAAACACTGTCGTTTCCTGCCCAGGACATCACACCCCTACACGCTAAGGTCGGTGAGAAGCATTCTAATCAAAGAATACACACAGTCAAGACACTGACTTTTCTACGAGACTCACGGTATGTAGTCATAATCATCAGTTAATTACATTGTTGAAGGTGCATTTTTATTCAAACTCAGTTAAATGAGCAAATCTATACGTTTGTGGACATTTGAGATCTGCCTAGATATGTTTTATTATTCTGCAATCCATTTTTAGTATTACCCGTTGGACCGGCCCGGCCCGACTTTTCTTGGCCCGACTTTTGGCAATCCTGCGGAATAGGCAAGGTCGCATATTGTACACCGGATATAATTAGTCCGCACTCACAACCATGGGATATACGGGGGCTTATTCCAAGCTGAGGGACATTCCTCTTGAGTGATATACCTTTAAATGTTAGAGTAGCCTGTTATCATTTCCTAGCTTCATATTCACTTCTAGTTCTATTTTCAGGTTCTTACCTTGAAATGTTTTGGAAGTGGTTAAGTCAAACTGAGCAAATTTCATTCTGTGAATAGGTTCAAATTATCTCGTTCACGTGCACCTCTAAATTACATATGTGTGTATATTTGTCTATGTGTTTAAATATAGGAACAACAGACATCTTTGTTAATAATTCTTAGAATACTACCTCTATTACACCATTGCAATAAATGCTTTATTTTGGCTGCATTCACACAAAGTTAATCTTCAGAATTTTCAACAGAAGTCCTCTTAACTGTCAACTACACAGTTGTCAAGACAATAGAACCGCCAATCAGCATCCAGCTCTTAAGCTTGCCAAGACGGATGACTTCTTTCCTAAACGTCTATCATCTCGAGACAGAAGAACGGGGAGGAGGGTGGGAGTACTTCTGGTGTAAAAGAGGTTGTATTCGTAGAATCATTCACAATGTTGTCTATTGTTCCTATGATTCTTACGAATCCTCTACCTCTATGCCAGAGGGTTAGGCGGGATCTGTTTGCTTCCAGCATAGTTGACAATAAGATAACATTCTTGTGATTTCATCCCATAATAGTTGTTTCCTATCCTGAAGGTGAAAAACAAACTATGAAATCACCTCAATGGGACTTGAAAACGTCATGTGCGGAAACACAATTATGTGGTTTCTTCATTCTTCAACTACCTTTATATTTGTTATAATGCGTATAAATAACGTAATAGATTGCCTAAACCTATCTGTCTTATGGTCCTTTTTGGTTTGTGACGTCACTACCGGTTTTGCTTCAATATGACGTCATTTCCGTTTTGGATGTTGTGAGGTTAATTCTCGTTTTAAGTGTCATTTTCGGCTTTTATAACATCATTTTGAGCTATCTCTGGTCTATGACATCACTTCCTGTTCTGACAACACTTCAATATTGACGTCACTTCTGTTACTTACAGACTATGACGATACTTCCGATTCGGACATCATTGCCGGTCGGAATCTACCGGTCAATATTTCTGGTTAATCTACTTCTACGTAGCCTGTACTGAGTTGTTACAAAGAACATTCCTTTGAGGCAGATTTCGGACGTCGCACCCCCCTTTCCAAAGGAGGGAAAACTATTTGGTTATGATAGATTGCTCAGCCACTAAAGGACCATGGTAGCTGGATACAAGTTCTACGGAAACTGTATTCCAGGATGCGATACTTGATGCCAATGCTATTATCTCATGGGCAGAGCAGGATGATAGTCTTGGGCTAGTCTATAGCTTCAGCTATTGTTCATTGGCCACCCAGCTACTGTAGCTTTCAGGTAAAACTTTAAGGCACGGCTTAGACCGAGTAATTGATATGGGTGGTCCACTGATGGTGCTAATTAAGGAATCGTATAATGTCTATGGCCAAGTGGTCCAATAGGTGTGGATTGATTATTGGCGACAAAGTCCATGAATCTCCAATACTCTAGCCCCGTGGCCATTGCAATTAAAAAGTCTGTTTTCCTTGATATCTGGATCAAAGTGGATTTGGCGAGGGGTTCAAATGTATGTTAGTAGTGCTGAAAGAACCACTGAAAGACTCAGTCTCGGGAATATTCTTGGAGATCTGACCTCTTCCATAAGAAAGTCCTCATTAGTCTGATGATAGTTGGATGATCACTTATATTCATCAAGATGTAGTACAGAATGTATTATAAGGCTGATCCATATAATTCTATCGTACCGTGTCAGAGTTTTCTATCTTCACGTAGACAGAGTAAAAATCAGCTACCATGGGGACAGTCACAGTTCTGTCTCCCAGGTTATGTCGTCTTCACTACTGGATGCACTTATTCAATCAAATGTCATAAGGAGGGATGAAGATTGTCTCCATGACTTAGAAACAGCTGCAGAGACGGATCTAGAGAAACCTGAGTCTTGTATTTTCTCCCAGATTCCAATTGTTTAGATGAGGCATTGGTAGATTGCTGTAAAATGTGTTTGACTTGGGTTAGCGTATGAGATCTTGTTCCAGAGGAAGATGGATTAGTTCTGCCATCAGCAGTTGCAACAGTCTGGGAAACCATGCTCTGCTTGGCCACAAGTGCTCTCTCAGAAAGATGATGCAATCTGTCATCTGTCTTCCAGATCACTTTGTCTAGTAGAGTCCATGGAGGGAACGTGTAGTTGAACCAGCTGGTCTAAACCATTGATAGGGCATCTACATGAAGAGCCATTGGGTCTGGTACTGGGCTTACCTGGACTGGAAGATGGTTGTTTAGACAAGTCGCAAAGAGATCCAGATGTGAGGTATCCCATCGTGACATTTTTCATCTGAATACTCCTGGATGTAATGACCATTCTGTTGTCACACTCTTCCATTGTTGAGAAAGGCTGTCCGCTAGCATATTCAGTCTCCCAGAAATATGTCTTGCTTTCATCCAGCAATTGATGGCATCTGTCAAGACAAACAATTGTGAAGTCTGTCATGAGGGAGCTTGACTTGCTTCCTCATTTCTTCTGAATGTGAGCAACCACTGTGGTGATGTCTGTGGCTATGAGTGAGTGAGTGAGTGAGTTTGGTTTAATGCCGCTTTTAACAGTATTCCAGTTATATCACGGCGTGTCAGCTTAATGTGGGAGGAAAGCCCGAACTGATGCAGGTCTCAGACGTTTACCACTTCGGTGAAACCAATGAGCACGGGTATGGTGCTGACAAACCTAGAAACATAGTGCTGACAAACCTAGAAACATAATCGTGGGCGAACCCGGATTCGAACCCACAATCATAGGTTTCTGGCATGTCCAAGCGACGCAACACTGCACATCAAATTGCGGCGCCTTAGACGACTGGGCCACCCGTGCCCCCCTGTGGCTATGAGGGCTAAGGAGCGAAAAGTTGGGACCATAGAATATTGCCATATTTCTAGTCAGTTCACATAAAGGCTCTTTTTGGAAGTGTTCCAAAGACCTTGAACGTGTAGAAATGCTTGTTATGCTAGGTACCACATGGTGACCATGAACATCTGGTAACGGACGGTGGCTTGGCTCTTGCTAGGACCGTACGGCCAGTGGCCATGAGGATAAACTGTGATCGCATGGCTTGGTGCTCATCTGGTCCATGCGTGGATGATCGGACGGTTGCTCCTGCCGGGTCCGTGAGGGTACCATTTAGTGACGGTGGAGATTTGCTGTACTTAGACCCTTGGCGTCTAGTCCGTGAGGGAGGTTGATGGTTGGCTGAACAGCTGGCTTCCCATGTGATGGTCCTGGTTATTGCGCGGTCCATGATGACCGTGGTTCTCTGGGAGGTAAAGCTGACTTGACCTCTACCTTGCTGGTTGGTCGGTGAACCTGATCTGGGTATTGTCTCAGATGGAGTAGCAGTAGAGGGTGAAGAATAGCATCTGCCATCTTCTTGACTGCCCCCTTCCTCCCAGCATTCTTGATCGGAGTTAAATAGTTATCTTAGGTAGGGATGCGCATGAGTTAAGCAAGTTTCTACTGTGCAGGAGGCATCTCTGCAATCCCAGCAAGCTGGATGGGGATCCCCTGTAATCAAAAACATCCCACATGATAAACAGACTGGGGGAGAGATCGAGGACGGCATCTTGGACATGCATACCTCAACACCCACTAATACTTATGAGACTACTAGCTAATAAGAATATTTACCAAAACAACCATCTTAAGTGTTGAATAAGTTGAATAATAGATAAACAACTAATTATCTGAATTTTAACTATCTAGTGTGAAAACATAGGCCTAGCTGCTGGAGGTTAAACTCAGTTGAAAAAACTGCTGCTGACTTGAGGACACACAGGAAAGAATTGAAGTTTTCCCGCCTTGGCAAGCTTAAGAGCTTGATGCTGATTGGCAGTTTTATTTTCTTGACAACTTGTTGTGTGTGTTGTGTTGAAGGTCAACTTGCATACAATTTGTTACACAACTTGCATTTCAGGTGAAACTATCTAGACAAGAATATAACTCATAACAAATTTTAATCACACTTAGTCCAAGACACTTCAATAGTAAACATAACACACAAATGAGCATATTTATTCTTAAGGCTAGTTTCCTGTGATAGCTCAGTGATAGCAACAACACAAAGTAAGATCATCTGACACTTATGACTTGAATAGCATATGAGCTAATGACAGATTCAGCCAATGATTGCATGATGTTCACAAATGACTTCCACAGGTGGGAGCACATCCTTGTCAGACAGTGATTCTTTCTTATTCCACTTGGAAAGAGTTGACTCTCCTTCTGAAAGTGTCCAAAATATATATATGTGATCACAGATGAGACAGCACCACTCTTCTGGTTAAGGTAATCTCTGTGAATGTCTTGTGTGGCATTGATCGGTATATGGCAAACATTTATGGCTCCATTTATGTCACAACTTTTCCCCCCCCATATCATTTCTTGACCTCTTTGCGTTCTTCATCTTGGGGAAATGTGACATACATGTGCATCAAAAGATCATCAATTGCTTGGCAGACTTTATGGACACATTTTCACACAGTTGATTTGCCAACACCAAAATTTGCTCTTCAGCCTGCACAGTTTGTAAGGGAATGCTCTTTGCATTTGCCGCTGATAGGAAAACCTATGTTGAAAAGTCACTGACTGATGAATATGTGCCTTACAATATTTTCATACTTCATTATCAAAGTTAATTTTCATGTGAATGTGTAGTAAATTTACATATACACACATGTATATTTACACTTGTGCAAAACTGGAACACGAGTAAATGTGCATGTGAATGGGATATAAAACAAGAAAGAAGTGAGCAAAGCCCACATACCCCCGTTATCCCCGCTGGTCAACAACAAATAGTAAATAGTTTGTTAATTAATGAAATATACCTGTTGAGGAACTGCCCTTTCCTCATGTAACCCCATGAGCTATACAAAACCAGTCATCAAAATTTCTAAATTCCATCATGTTTCCATGAAAACAGCAAAAGAGGAAACTTTCAGAATCTTATAAAAGATAAAAAACAATCATAGTGGTTAATGTAGCAAGTTTGCTGAAGCTAGGATACATAATATTGTAAACATGGATCGTACAAAAACTCTACCCAAAATTTATGTTTCACCTTGATTCCATGGAAACGACAAAAAAAAAATAATTCAGAATCTTCAAACTAGCAAAAGGCACAAGTACTCATTGTGGTAAATGTGTGTAGCAAGCTTGAAGAAGCTAGGATATATAGTTAAAAAGATATGGGCCGTACAAAACACCCACCCTAAAAGTTTCTAATGTTTCCATGGAAACGGCAAAAATTAAAAAGTTCAGAATCTTCAAACTAGCAAAAGGCACAAGTACTCATTGTGGTAAATGTGTGTAGAAAGTTTGGTTAAGCTAGGGTGCATGGTTAAAAAGTTATAGGCCGTACAAGAGTTCGGACGGAAGGACGGACAGACGGAATGCAATATTCAATATTTTCATGAATTTCAGGGTTCATACTTTTCCATGGCTCCTATTTCATTTTCAGTATACTGTACTTTTGTATGGATGTCAAGAATAATTCTCCAGATTCAGTGTAACATATACAAGTCTCATGACATGAATTATTGCAGCATGAAAAATATCTTTAAAAGAGTGATTTTTGAATGGTTGCAGTTGTACTTAAGCCGTTTACCTAATAGGTTGCCAAATATTTCTGAAGGGTCTATTCCTCCTGAACCGTCAATGTTGCCTTAACTGTGACGTAGATACAAGAAGAGGAAACAAATGAGGGAATTCTTATATGTTGGGAAATATGACAAGAGATCAAACACTCATTAGAGTATACATCTTAAGGTCATGTAAACAAGAACTGAAGTGAGCCAAGCACTGAAAGTTTTAACACTTGATGAAAGTCTATCATATTAAAAAGCTAGATACGATAATATAACACTTGAAGACAGCACAACTTGTTTTGCATCTTCACTTAAGTGGTGATAAAGGTGAGATTCTGTACTTATGGTAGTCTATTGTCAATATACAAGAACATAAGTTCAGAAGACCTGAAGAAGCAATGAAATTTGTCTGGCCTAAATATCCCAAAATATATTCATGATGCCTATCCTTTTTGTTCAGTATAAGTGCAAAGAAAACCAACAAAGCATCATCCCTTATCAGCAAAAAGTTTATTAAAGAACAAGGTTAAAACAACTGATGCCTACATTATTAAGACATCTCATTATACAATCTGCACAGATCTAAACAAGAAACTGGGAGTTTTGCATTTTATTTTCCAATCCTAAAACAATCCCTGAAAACAAAACGATCAAGCCATGTAAAGAATGGCTGTAAGCCAATACACATTGCTTACTATAGTCTGGACAGAAAATTTGTACAATGAAAACACATGAAACGTTTTGGAGTAATGATTACCTGAACAAAGAAAATATTCTAAAATTAGTTAGAGGTTAAAAGAAAAAACTCAACAACTGAGAAAACAATAAAGGATATGCTTACTGAACACAAATGATCATGTCATGTTAAAAACAGTGATTGGAGTAATGATTGTAACAAAGTTTCCATTTGAAAAAAGGTATTGTTTGATATACATGAGACATATGATTGTATATTGTTAATATTGCAGGTATTACTTCATGGTATGACTTTCAACAGCTATATTCATGATTATAATCAGTAAGGGTCCTTCACAGGAATCTGTATACAAACTGATAACAACGATGTGTAATGAATTTTGTTACAGATTTCATTACAGATTCCTCTGCATGACCATGCCACTGGACAGGTGCTTGTTTATATGGGATACATAGTTTGTATTATTAGTGAAGTGTGTCATCTAGCTAGAACATAGCATGGTTGTCCTTACTAACCAGAGCAAATGAAGTGTGACTTGTGGTTGTGAATGATGCGACAGAGACTTAACATCTTTCGTTGCAAGGGAAGAATAGGATTCTGTCCCTGGAGGATTCAGCAGGAGTGAGTGAGTGGGTTGTGTTTTAGGCACTGTCCGTATTCAGCAGGTACATTCACATATTGTCCAACTCTTATACAGGTAGAAGCTTGTTTTCCACATGCTGGTTTTAAAGACTGAGCACCAAAACAAAACAAAACAAAATGTGAAACTCCCTCTGTCTCAAGTTAATTACCGGTAGGTCATATTCTAAGAGAATCTGACTCTTCTGTCTTTTTGAAAACAATTTCAACACAACTGCACTTTACTGAAACCTTTTGAATATGATTGGACATAAGCATTTTACAGAAGATATTATGTGTCTGTTTCATTATCTGCATGCATATGTTATTGCATCTAGTTAGTATGGCAGAGTAATGCCACAGGATGCAGCAATGAATTGCATGCTGACCCTGTAGTCTGGTTTTTCCCTTCTAAATAGTGTAATCCAGTGTACTGACCCTTCGGATCAGCTTGATTGAAATTTCATTGTTACCCTGATTCCACTAGAAATGTTAACAGGCCAACTCACAAACAGCTCATGCAAAACTAAAAGAAAGGGGAAATAAATAAACAAAATCAATCTTAGGAGAAAGGGATTGAAACATTTTACAACTTGTTTGTTTCTGATACTTAACCCTGAAACAATCTACTGGAAGTGGTTATTGTGGATTACATCTGTGTCTGCTAGAAGTGGTTATTGTGGGTAACATCTGTGTCTGCTTGAAGTGGTTATTGTGGATTACATCTGTGTCTGCTAGAAGTGGTTATTGTGGGGTACATCTGCATCTGTTAGAAGTGGTTATTGTGGATTACATCTGTGTCTGCTAGAAGTGGTAATGGTGGGGTACATCTGTGTCTGCTAGAAGTGGTTATTGTGGATTACATCTGTGTGTGCTTGAAGTGGTTATTGTGGGGTACATCTGTGTCTGCTAGAAGTGGTTATTGTGGATTACATCTGTGTGTGCTAGAAGTGGTTATTGTGGGGTACATCTGTGTCTGCTTGAAGTGGTTATTGTGGATTACATCTGTGTCTGCTAGAAGTGGTTATTGTGGATTACATCTGTGTCTGCTAGAAGTGGTTATTGTGGATTACATCTGTGTGCGCTAGAAGTGGTTATTGTTGGGTACATCTGTGTGTGCTTGAAGTGGTTATTGTGGGGTACATCTGTGTCTGCTAGGAGTGGTTATTGTGGGGTACATCTGTGTGTGCTTGAAGTGGTTATTGTGATGTACATCTGTGTCTGCTTGAAGTGGGTATTGTGGATTACATCTGTGTGTGCTTGAAGTGGTTATTGTGAGGTACATCTGTGTCTGCTTGAAGTGGTTATTGTGGATTACATCTGTGTGTGCTAGAAGTTGTAATTGTTAGGTATATATGTGTGTGCTTGAAGTGGTTATTGTGGATTACATCTGTGTGTGCTTGAAGTGGTTATTGTGGGGTACATCTGTGTCTGCTTGAAGTGGTTATTGTGGATTACATCTGTGTCTGCTTGAAGTGGTTATTGTGGGGTACATCTGTGTGTGCTTGAAGTGGTTATTGTGAGGTACATCTGTGTCTGCTTGAAGTGGTTATTGTGGATTACATCTGTGTGTGCTTGAAGTGGTTATTGTGAGGTACATCTGTGTCTGCTTGAAGTGGTTATTGTGGATTACATCTGTGTGTGCTAGAAGTGGTTATTGTTAGGTACATATGTGTGTGCTTGAAGTGGTTATTGTGGATTACATCTGTGTGTGCGTGAAGTGGGTATTGTGGATTACATCTGTGTCTGCTTGAAGTGGTTATTGTGGGGTACATCTGTGTCTGCTTGAAGTGGTTTGGGTTTACTGCTGCATCCATATGCATGAGGCATAAGGTACAGATATTTTAGCCATCATAATTATGCACCACACAGCTGATTAATATCATGAATATTTTGTACATGTAAGAATTACATCTGATAACATTTGAACACATAACACAAATGGTACTGACTTGATGGAAGCGGTGAATGTGCTAATGATATACAAATATTGTAAATATGTACATGATGTAGTTCTAACAAATTAACATAATATCAGTGTCTATCACAAATCAAATCAGTACCAGTCCTTTGTGTTTGACTTCAGACTGTTGAAAGAGAACATGGTTGGTTATGTCTTAGTGATCGTGGTTGTAAAGATCTACCCAATATTCCTGTCCTGAAAATTTAATTGAATGTCCAAATATCATCCAAACAAATGGACTTGTGGGTCAAACATAGCTGTATCACAGATAATAAAAGGTAACAAATATACAAAAAGGAAATTATGACAATGTGAACAGACAGCAGTGTATAAATCTAAAACATCAAAATGATCCCAAAGCACTGAGACAACAGCATTGTAAATCTTGTTGACACATCATTGTGCCAATCACTCAATACAATGATGGAGGAGATTCTTGTCACTAAACCCGTTTTGTTAAGCATAACATGGATATCTATATTTATGTTTGAATCAAGTTATTTGTATGACCGCAAACCAACAAAAGGATTTTTCAAATTTTGAAATATTGAAGTTGTTTTATATTTATTTCATATTCTGTATGAGTGGCTACAGCATGACCAGTATTTTTAAGTCTGGTTATTTATGAAAAGATCATTTACATTCTTTTAGACAAACATGTAATAACAATGTTGGAAGTGAGAAGAACTGACAAATAATGGTGTGCTTATAGAAATAGTAAATGAAGTCATAATAGCAACTGCTAAACCTTAGACACAGTGAAAAATTAATTATCTAGGCCTTAACAATGAGGGATAGTCTAAAATGGAGCAATCATGTATAGAATCTAGAATAGCTATCTAACACAGAATCACAATTCACTGTCAATTTCATCAAGCAAGTAATTGATATGTAAAATATATATTGGTGAAACCACTTGGTTTCATAACTGACTAAAACATACTAATCAGATGCTGATGATGAACATTGACACCTACGAGTATTCTGACTTGTTATACAAGAATATCTTTGATTTGTCTAAAATATCAATATCTCATTGGCAAAGACAGGCAAACACACATTCTGCAGTTGCTTGCATGGTTAAAAGTTTACCCTAACAATGCATCCTGGTCTAAATATCTACATTTGTACAACAATCTTCGTAAATAGCAGAACAAGTTCATGACATGTACCTTGTTCATGTTGCATCGCAAACTACATGAAAGTTTTGTATATCAACAAGCCAAATAAAAAACACCTCAGATCAGTGTCTTTCACCAATATCCTTGAAAATAGATTACTAGTTCACAAGAAATATCACGAACCATTAACGATCTGACACTTTCACTATTTGAATGTTGATGTCTTACACGATACTGATATGGGTAGCTTGCTTGACGTGAGCATGAGTGACACTGCCAGCTTAAACACACTGTATCAGCATAGGCATATATGCATCTCTACAATACTGACTAACCAAATGGTTTGTGATGTAACATTCAGCTGAAATGCAGTGAGAAAAAGATACTTGATGTCAAAAACAAACACAACTCTAAACAATGCTAAGAAACTTTAAATTGTAAGAAATAACACCATCAATAACAAAATAGTCTTGTTGAAGCAAACAACTCCAACTTATATCATGAAGTCTTTACCAACAGACATGTTGCCTGTTTTCACTTTCACAGACTTCCATCATTCTATGTTGAGGACAAGAGAACAACTGCTGTTATAAGGGAGATAACTCTAAGCACCAAGATAATGCCTGGATTTAGCACAGGCCATCAATATCGTAACAGTCAAGGTATCACAGTGACACATCAGCTGGAATATGTATCTTAAATATCCTTGAAGTCAAACATGAGTCAATTAGGTTTTTTTTATCTGTTGCAATCAGATACAATTGATTACAAATGTTTTCATTGTTGCAGACAGAGTCTTTGTATACAGGTTTTTAGTGGGAATGTCCTCAAAATGATATTCATGAAAGCTTTAGAAAATATTTCAAAGTGCTTGTACAGTGAGAATAAATGACAAAACATTTCAAGGGCAATCTGACAATGTCGCGGCGAAGTAGAACATGTTACATGATATCCAAGGAATATCACCTGAAAGCTGCTTCATGCTATGTCTTCACGAACTTAATGAATACATCATCACTCTACTGAAAAGAGTTCATCCCTTTCATTTATAGAGGCTTTCTATTTCACAAGTTAGTGAACTATTGAAGCACCAGAAAAAAAAGGTTCCTACCACATATAACACTGCATGGATCTCCCAGTCAGGTGGACATTGTACAACCAACACAGTGTGTCTGGCAGTGTGGCTAGTGACAGTCTTTTACGGAGATCACATCTCTTGCCCTGATGAGAACAGTCTGGGATAACATGCAAGAAAGTTCCTGCACAGCAAGGCACAGTTGCGAAAGAAAAAATGCGCTAGAAGTTAATAGTAGGACTTGTGTCTCTATGATGCTTATTATTATATTTGTTGTTTTTTAACCTGGTTCAACACCCCCAAAATAATTGAAGCCCTGTCAATGAAACATCAAATTGTTGTCTGCATACATTTTTCAGATTATTGTAAAAATAGTAAATTTTCAATAATTGCAAATTAAGATGTACCATCAATCAAAGTATCTTAGAGACACATCAGGACCCTCCTTCCTCTTCTCTGACAATAGCCACACCCAAACAGGCAGGATATGAATAGCACTAATTAATATCAGCTGGAAGCATATATCTTCACAGTATCACCCATGGATTGTTAGCATCAGATGCCTGATCACACATACACACAGCACTTCCATCCTTCCACATCGTCTGCACACCTACACAGACTGCCCAATTACTGCTGTAGGACAACATTCATGAAGAGGAAAGAGGTCTTTCTTCATAACATAATGTTGAAAAATGAACTGGATATGAATGAGGCTTGAGATCTATCTGCCATTATGCTGCTCTTGTGCCTCTTCATCATCATCCTCCAGAGTGAGGATCTGCTCCATGCTCAAACCCTGGGTGCTGGTTCCCCGGCGCATCTTCAGGAGCTGGCCAATACGAACCCATTTCAGTTTATTCTTCTCCACAGCATCATTAACTTCCTTACACTCGGGGAAAAGTTTCTCCAGGATCCTGTAAACATTGAATAAGCAAATGTTTTTTTCTAAATTACCTTCAGGGGCGTATAATGAGATTAGAAATGCAGGGTTTGCCAGGGTTAGAAATTGGCACATGTCCTGTAGTCCTTGCCAAACTGCCCAATACTCAAGGTATTATAAGGACTAGTAGAAATATGCCATTTTTAAGTGTTTTGCTATTTGTTATCATTATAAGGACTAGTGAACTAAAAATGTTAGTTTCTACCGCTGGTTTGACCTTTATGCTTGCCATTAATCCGAGGTGAGACAAATTTAACATGGGCTAATGAAACAGAAAATATACTTTTCCTTTGGACTACTACAATTACTCCTGTCAGTCAAATATAAACTGTGGCTGAAAATAATATCTTAAGAGTTTCACACTGAAAATCGCGACGAAACGTCATCTTTTTTATTAACACTAAAATATTCCTTGGATTTTAGAAAGCAATATAAACTTTAAACACCACGATCTCTGCAAATTTGGTAAAATCCTGCATTTTTTAGGCACTTTGAAAACAATAGGCCTGTTTTGTTGGATTTGATAATCGACACAAAGCATTACATAGATGTAAATACGAAATAACAAAACAACTGGAAAAGTACTAGTCTGGATTTGCTAGTTTTATCTCAGTGTTCAATACAAAATGTACTTTACAGGAGGTAATTAGTAGGCACTTTCATCATTCAAAAATAAAACTAAATCCAAATTGACATGGCAGAAACAGGCTATAGGCATTATCCAAATTAGACAGGAAAAAAGTTATCAAAACAACAATAAAAATAACAGCTATGTTTATGTACATAATAATAATGACATGTAAGTTGTTGTTTGAGAACGGAATATGTTACTTTTACATTCTGATATTTTGACGATGATTTACTATCCCACAATGCCACTCACAAATCACTAACCACTGACAAATCACATGCACGTGGGTTTCAAGCACCTGTTTTCACCTGTCGTCAAGGTGTCATAGGTCATGGACATTCACCTTGATCTACTAACGCCTGGTTATGCTCAGTTTCACAATAGTCTGTTTTGTTCATATTTTTACACACTTTGTATTTGTGCGAAGGCCCAATTAGTACTAATTGAGTTGTTTGAATATTTATATATTTTGTATATTAACTGCATTTATTTAAAATCTGAGATCGATCATTCTCATTAATATTTCTATCACACGCATCTGTCTCTCCAGATACATTTCTATCCCAAAAAGTCTGGTATTTTCCATTTTGAAGCCATGATTTCACTTGATTTTGACAGATACATAACTCATAAACTGTTGTCTGCATGAAATCTCAAATGGAAAGACAACAGTTCCGGTCATGCACAGATCAAAGTTTCTTAAATACATCGCAGGGATTTCCTGGAATTCATTCACTTTTGTTCCTATAGCAAACATAACAGTCGTGAGTATCATAGACTTTGCTTACTTCAAGCTAGATTTTGCAATTTCTTTGCTTATGACAGACTACTTTGTGATATATTTACAATTATAATTCCAATTACTAGAAACAACGTGCACTGTAAAATCACGGGTTTAATTATTTTTCTGCGCGATCTTTCACACACAGCTTGTTTTAAAATGTTTATTATGAAATTAGTGTGAATCCCAATCACACACACTGGCAAACTCTCTGCATATTTATTATGTCATGGAATTCCCACTTTTAGCCAATCAGTAAATTACTTGTCAAAGACCAAAGCCCTCATTTAGACAGTCAATCATCAGTTGATGTTTGTGTTTTGGAATACAATGTTATTTACCATGTTTCTTAAAACTTGTTACACTGAAGTTAATTCAACTTATAATTCTCTAGTCTTGTGTCTCTAAGTATTTGTACAGTTTACAGCTCATACTTTCACGCCTTCGATAAAGAAATACCCTGGACACTTTTAGCTGAAGACCACACTGTTCCAAACATCGTTGTTGTAAATCATATAATATATACATTTCAGATTATCTATAATGAGTTTAATGCTGACACATCAAGTAACTAACACTAACAAATGTAACAGTTCTTTTGATCAAGTGAGTGAGTGAGTGAGTGAGTTTGGTTTAACGCCGCTTTTAACAGTATTCCAGTTATATCACGACATGTCAGCTTAATGTGGGAGGAAGTGATGCAGGTCTCAGACGTTTACCACTTCGGTGAAACCCACAAGCACGGGTATGGTGCTGACAAACCTAGAAACATAATCGGGGCGAACTGGGATTCGAACCCACAATCATAGGTTTCTGGCGTGCCAAAGGGACGCAACTCTGCACAGCGAATCGCGGCGCCTTAGACGACTGGGCCACCCGTGCCCCCCTATTGATCAAGTGCAAATTTCTATATCTATCATGCAACTGAGACACGCTCAGCTTCACATGCACATAAACTGTCAACCATCATTTCCTGACAAGATACCATTATTGATTCTTTTTACTACAATCTTATGACAAGACAAAAAGTGAGCAAGGCTCTTTCATACCCTGACTTCGGCTCCAACATATTTCTAAGTTCAATAAATGAATTTTTTCTTCTTAAAAAATTCAGAAAATACACATATCAAAATCAAACTTTGCCCCTCTTCTATTAGTATTAGGTTTCACAATTATTTCAGTGAACAGATTCTAAGTTAAACCATTAAAAATAGCTGTATTTTGTTTCAGAAAATCCAAATATTGAAAACAAACTTCGAAATGCACCTCTACTATTGGTGTAGAAACTGTAATACCATTAGAAAAAAATCCACGAAGTAGTTTTCAAGTCCAAAAAGTAAATAATGAAGAAAAGCTATATTTTTTTCAGAAAATCCAGATATTTCTCACTTCGCACTGCACCTCTCCTATAGGTATAAAAAGTGTTCACCAGCTCAGCTCCATAGCATGTCTCACCTGTATACTGGCAATGCAATGCCATCAAGGAAGTTGATCTGCAGGTCTGGGATACAGGCCTTTTCTCTGTCCATCATTTCTATTGGGTCTTTCCCAACTGCCTTCTCTAAATCCCCTTGGGAGAAGAACTCCTGGTACACTTGGGCCTGGAAATACGGACATTCATCTTTACAGATGCCTAAATCTCATGACCTCTATCGCTGACCTAAACATGATATGGTCCTGAGGCCATGAAGAAGTAAGGGAAGATACCATTGTTGTTAATAATCTCTACATAGCTTTTCCAAAAGAAAACCAATAGCAGGAGTGCTCAAAGTCTGATAAAACCCTGACTAAACCTGTGAAAACAAGATGCAAAGAAATGGCTATGGAACAGTATCCTTGGGTCTTTGGAGAATCAATCTGCAGACGTATATGTTAGTCATCATTTCACACTAAAAAATTCCTTTCTTAAAATCCTGCTAATTTTTTTTATGAAAGATTTTATCTTCCACATTAACAACATGTGGGTGTGAACTGCACATTTTGGCAAAGCATGTCCGAATGGTTGATGGATGCCATTATGCCATTATGCTTCCCACTTATTGATTAGCTGGCATTGCACACCAAAGTCAAGCCAGAAGGAAACTTTATGTGTTTGTGCCACACATTCATATGACTCACAGCTATGTGTTTGGTGTTGTTCCAGTCCTTTGTCTGATCAGAGAGGTCACATGAGGTCATCAGCAGGCACAGGAGCATGTTCCTCTGATTTGGTTTGGTACTATCATAGCCTTCTGTAGCACAAATAGAAAATGGGAGAAATATAAGGGAGGCATATCTTATACCATAGATCAGATACCATATAACAACAAATGGGAATAAGGTCTCTGTTTAGATCAATCCCCTACAGAAAACCAATTTACTTACTTCCTGGAATTTGATACAAATAAAGGGGAATGTTTCAATGTATGTATACTCACTCTCAGCCATTATTCCCAGATCACCAAGTATTCTGAGATGATGTGCAAGATCTGTAGCCAAGATGATGTCTCGCATCAAGTCCAGCACATGTTGGTAGTCCTGCAAGGAACAGTTTCCACTATACTTTATGTACATCCCAGAAACCCTGCCATGGTGCACTCACATGTTTATATGTGTGCACCAGTCTCTGACCCAAATTTGAGTCCACCCAGTTCTGTATTGTTTTCAAATTATTACTTTATTCAAAATATCATCCTCAATACTCTTGTGTACCATCTCCAATATGCTAATTCCCATTCATTACCATAGCCCTGTTTTGAATCTCTTTCAAATGGCATGATTCTAATTTCTGCAATCAAATTACTTTCATTTGCGGTAGACATTCTGTGGGAAGTCAGTGATAAGAGAGATTGTGAAATCCCCATGTGTCAGTGGGGACTCAAGAGCAGTGAGACAAGAGATCTCAGGCAAATCAAGGATTGAATTCAATACTGACAAGTGACACATGGGTCAGTATATCACCATCACAAGGGTCAGCATGTAAAATTAGCCATTTGCCATGATAAATTCTGAAATCTGAAATCCTACAACCTACCTTCTACTACCGTATTTGACATAATAAGCGCCCTGCTCTAATAAGCGCCCCCGGCGATATTTGCTAATATATTGGCTAGTTAACAATACTAATTAGCACTCCTTCCAATTGATCAATGTACACAACACTTATTTATTCACGTATAATACGCACTCGTGTGTTATATGCGCCCTTAATTATGGGCAATTAAAAAGCATAAACCACAAAATTTATCTTTCAACGATGTTTTTTTCACCAAAATAATATTCTAATAAGAGCCCCCTATTTCTAATTTTGAGAGCACCCTGGACGTTTAATATGTCGAATACGGTAATCTTTCTAATATATATGCCCCCAAATAGTCATGATTTCAAATGGTACATGTAGGAAAACAGCTAAAGGAGTCCCGGTATACATGCTCCTTAACACTATTCACATGGCAAGTGATCACTTGTTAAAAAAGCTATAAGCAACTCACAATGTTCCATCAGTAATCAATTACAAGGGAGATTGTGTATTTTTCGACAAGTGCCTTTTTCACCCTGTAGTGAATGCTTGATACTATTCACCTGGAAGTAGCACTTACTGAACTTGAGAGGTGTTCGAAGATGTTGCATCCCTCTGTGTTCACAATACACATACTCTGCGCAAAATGGTGACGCTGAAACATAAATCATATACTGAAAAACAGAAGGTCACCTTCTTGGCACAACTCGACCCTCTTATCAAAGGATGCCAATCAAAATTGCCAGAGTTGAACAGTTTACAGTTACCATTTGCATTACCTTTTGTGAAGAAAAGATATTTTTCAAGTAACTGTTCTAAACTTGAACTGAATGTAATGATTATTAAGGAATATGATGTTGATGTATCTACTCTGTTAGATCGTGAATTAAAATGTCAAGAGTTTTGACATCTGAAACTTTTTTTCTACCTCCATGACGGATCCTTCAGAGCTGTACAAAGCTGCCAACACAGATTCCTAGACAGGAAAACAAAATGCCCATATTGTATGGTCAAGAAGTAACAAGAAAAATAATTATTTATTTTAGTGAAATATTCAACAGGAGCAGTGTACAAGTTTCAGTAACATCATAATTTCATGATGCCAAAACAAATGTGTTCTTGTTGAAAGAACATTAGAAAGATGAGAATCACTATTAATGTGATCTTCTTTGGCAATCAAAATCTTATCAATGCCATAAAATTGAAAAATGCAATCTTTGGTGAATGCAATACATATTATTTATTCTTAACAAATGATACAAAAACCCACAAGGGTAATTGTCTCTTTATCATTTAATTTCATTCTCAAATTAATTGAAATTTAAGACATACTGTCATTCAGTGAAGCAACTTTAGAAACCAGGAAGAAATACAAAGCCTGAGTAAAGCAATAGTTGTGATAAATTTGGGCGACCCCCCACACCTCTATCGCTGTGTCAATTTTTTCATGTACTATATATACCATACCCATTCAAGACGGTGGTTGTTGGGAAAGTCTATAATAATATGTATAATAATAAACTTCCTACCCATAGCTTGTAATCAAACATTTTAATCAGGACAAGACTGGGAAATTTACTTTCTATATAATATATAGCTAATGTATATTCTAATATAGCTATGTCATAGTAATGAAGGGGCTTTTTTTTTAGTTCACTGGGGACAAAACTTGTTCAAAGTGATGGAAAAGAATTTAGAAATGAGTACTCACTGACTGCACCTGGAATGAGTTGGTTGTTCCTCGGTGATCAATATCATGACAGAGGCAGGCCACAAATAAAGCAAACACTTCGATCTCTCTGGGGGGAAACAAGCAAAGGGGAATAACTCTTGTAGCCATACTGGTATGATACACAGATTCATTCAGTTCAGAAGTCCATATTGTCAACTACTGCAATGCAACACTTTGACATATTCCACCAACAAGAGGCAGGGATTGAAATTAAGCATGAAGTCAAGGGACAATTGTCATAGTTCCAAACCTAAAAGGTACTATTGTATAAGTGCAAGATTCTATGCCACCTGGACCTAGCTTAAGTTGACACTGAGAAGTATACTTGTTGAATGACTTATCTTTTCTTTGAATAGTCACCACGATACAGATTTTATTATTGACACTCTAGCTGTGCATTTCACACACAATACAGTTCACGGGAAACAAACGAGCAGTTTGAGTATTTAGACTGATATGTTGCCTGGGTCATTGGTCCTGAAAAAGAACAATAAATGATGGGCACAACTATTTACAGCAACTTGCAGCATCTTTGAAATCTGGGCCTGGCCAGGTGCCTGCTGCAAAGAGACACAAACACATATTCACTACGATCAGACAACTTACTTTAAATGTTTCTCCAAGTGCAGATTCTTGACCAGAAGGTAACAGAAATGGGCTACAGCATATGCATGCATCCAGTTATGGTATGGTGGATTCCTGTATCCTCTCTTCACCATCAGTACAAACCTGAAATAGTGCAAGACAACACAACTCAGTCACATAGCTACACACTCTGACATTTCTGTCAGTATCATTATAACTGTATAATGAATATAAATTATTACACAAATTCATCATAAACACACCCAGTAATTTAATTTTTAACACTTTCGTGTAATTAGACACCAAAGTGCAATATTATGGAAAAGTGATCGTGCATGAATCAGTAAGGGTACGATCCATGCTGTTATGGATTGATGACACACAATCCATAAGGAAACCCTCAATAATAGTAGTCACATCCTTATTTCTGTCCATTTGGACTAGCAAGGGTTCTGGGGACCTATTCTACCCCAGAAATCCCCACTGGGCAGGAACCTAATAGTTCTGCTCTCACCTTGCCAATGTGTCTTTTCTTATTCTAAACTTGGCAATCAAACCAAGATCTTCAAACATGCTCAAGCAAGCCTGAAAAAAATTGAAACATTCCATTCAAACTATACATATGACATAAACCTTTGTGAAGCTAAACAACAACCTCTTATACCATAAGGCTAATGCTATTTTTTAGGGCATTATCATTTGCAGAAGCCTAAGGTCTTCCATTAACTGCCGGACGAAGGAGGGCAAGGAGGGCTTCTGCAAACGATGATGCCCTGAAAAATAGCGTTACCTTTATTATAGCTAACATGGATGGAATTTGTTATCAAATAAAAAGAAAGAACAATATCATTTTTGAAACAAGTACTGCAATCAACACGAATGTCACTGACACACTTTTACAAATATGGAAACGTCATAGAACAAACCAGATGACGTCACTATTGATTGTGACGTCGACTATCCCTATCCTATGACATCACCTAACAAAGGGGCGTGATAAAGGCCCGTCGTCAAGCAATAGACCATTATCAAGTTACAGTGGCCCACTATCATTAAACATGTGGGCAGTTTAATGATAATTCTATCCATTTTAACTATAATAGCAACTGACACCTGAAACCCTTTTTTAGGATGCACTAAGCCTGTGAGGTTCCAGGTACCAAGATATTAAAATGCAATGATCCCCTAGAAACAATGTATTACATGTCACTGGGTGCACACTGTTTTTGTATATTTTTGTTTTAAGCCACACAGCAATATTCCAGCTATATAATGGGTTGTCTGTTAATAATCAAGCCTGGACCGGTCAATCCAGGTATCGGACAATTAACCAAGTCAGCGAGCCTGACCACCTGATTCTGATAATTGCCTTTTATGACAAGCATCGGTTGCTGATGACCAATTCTAACCTGGATCTTCACAGGGGGCACATATACTGAATGAGAATAATCCAACATAATGGCAGCCTAAAAATAATGTGTCCTTGGCCAGACTGTGGATGCTAACAGGATCAATGATCCATGCCTTCAGGCATCATGACACACACAAGCATGTGCCATTCTGCCATGCATAACAATTCTTGGAAAGGTAATAAGGTGTTCAATACTGAGTCCAATATCTAAAAATGACTCGTACACAAGGCAAATTGTTGAACATGACGATGGTGTACCCAGATTACCTTGATGCATCAATGCATCCTACAGTATATTAATAATCATGAGAATAGGCCATTTATGTGCTTTTATTTTCACACCACACTGTGGAATGCTCAAAGCCCTACACCATTATTCCCAGGATCAATGGATCAGTGTGCACTCTATTTCATTCCCAGCTACTCAGGGAGTATACAACCCATTCTGCCTGTTTGGCACTAGAAGGTTGACAGTCACATTACCATCTCATCCTACCGGGTACCCATTCATTGCTGAGTGAACAGAGGCTTATTTTTCGAACAAAGTCACTTGCCTAAGGTGACACCACATATTCTGCATGCACTCCAGTTTCGAGCAGGACCAAAGCCCTGGGAACTCTCATGAGTTGAGCATGGTCACTCATCCAATTAATCTCTGCGACCATCGTTGCCAAAATTTGTACACAGGACCACCATACATTATGGCTAATCTCAGCATTAGTCTCATCTATCACTCACCACAGGGGTGTCTGCCTCTGGAATTGTCCGGGGAGCATAGCAGAATTTGTCAAAGATGGGACTGATGACATGGACTGACAGCATGTCGGAGCTGATGAGATCTCGAACTTCATCAGTTGTCACCTAGGACAAACAATGGCATCTCACAGACACACTTGTATAAACACAACAAATAGGTCTCCTCAAGATCCATCAACTACACCAGATATATTAGACAAAGTCATTCAAAATTCCCGAATAAACCTTGTTAATTAAAGAAGCTTATTCAGTGAGTACAATGATCAACATATATCTATCTATAAAAAACATGAGTTGGACCTAGTCTTGTTTATGTTGATAGTCAACCTCAGCAAAGCTATTTCTGCAATCACATCTGTTGGCAGGCATCTTCACACTTCAGAACATGTGAACTGAGGCAAGATTTGAGCTTTCAATCCATGCTTGTGACAAAAGAATGATGTGCTTGTTTGCATCTCCACCAAGCCACTCTGTATCCACATCACTGCAAGTGTATCAGTGTATCATCCAACAATAACACTGTGCAACATGCATATTCTCAATACTTCTTTCATTTTCCAAATTATGGAAAAAGTTTCTGTTGTAAAAACCCAAAATGTGTAAACAAGGGCTTGAGCACAAAACCAGGTCCAATGGAAAGACAGACATTTGTACTAGCCCGGTAGACCATGCCGGTTTCCCTCATGATAAAGGTGAAGGGTACTTTTAGATTTTCAAACATTTTAGGGTGTTCTCATACAGTATCTCAATGTTAATTAAAATTAAGATCAGTACTATAATTTAGTGTATGACCATGCTTTGTGAGTAACATCTGGCAGTCAACAGCTCACAGAAGCGTACTGAAAAACAAAGTTTTAGTATGTGACATAAAAAGTTATGTTTAACCCTACTGCAAACACGCAGTGGAAAATGCAAACAAATGAGACTAGGGGAAAGATAGAAGTTGCAGTTGGAATCAAATAGATATTATTCTAACAAGCATATATGGCAGAAAAGACAAACTACTAGAAGCACTGTCAGCATTTGTTTAACTCACAAATGTGCTGAATCTTATTTTTCATGTTTTAGATCAGTTGTCCAAACACTTACTTTTACCATTCTGTACTTCCACATACCTGTGTCAACTTCATCATTGAGCAACTTCTATCTTTACATATCATGCAAAGAAGCAGAAATAAAAAGTGTGTGAAAGAAATATTGAAGCAGAAGGACCAACAAAACACAAAGAACTAACTAACCTGCATGTGATAAATCATAAGCTCATTAGATAGATTATTACGGTGCTGTGCGTCCTGAACTTTCTTGTACATGAGACACTGAAACAAAAGATATAGTTGTCCAAATGATACAGAAAGAAAGAAACCAAAGATGTCTACACATTCCCCATGATCAGCTAGGACATTTACAGGTCTAGGGGACAGACAGCCAGCCAGCAAGCCAGCCAAACTGCTGCCATGGTTTACCTTCATGTGAAACATCATCAGCTCGTTTGCGAGACTGTTTCGGTATTGAGCATCAATCACTTTATTGTACATCAGAGACTGAAACAGATAGATAGTCATGGTTCTCTACATCCTACCTAGACCATTCTTCCAGGCTTCAATGCACACAGTTAAACAATATGGTAGTAATTTCACAATACAGCATGTAAAACCAAAATGTCTTCTACAACTTGAAATTTGAAATATGACACATGGTGCATCAAACATGTTTTACACCTGAGATGTCACAACATAAACAGCAGCCTGGTCATATTAAACTGTTTCATAAATGCTTCCTCATATCGAACACCATAACAAACCGTAACTGAAAAGTAAGGATTAAAAGAACAAAAAAATTGATTCTCAGGCAATGACTTTTGAAACCAGTGTGTGAGGGCGGAGTTTTTTGTTTGTTTGCTTGTTCCCTTGTTCAAACTAGTATGTTACCAAATAAATAGTTGTGTAACATCAACCTGGGAAAGGGCCTCCCTACATTTAACAAGCATACACACTCCTATTGCCGTCATATCCATAACATGAGATGTGCAGTGAACCAGTGCCCATGTAAAGGGATGTAACTGAGTGCTTATTTGTATCACATTGTTTTTAAGTATTAGGATTGTTTTTTTAAAGGGAAATAAAAACTAAATGAGCGGCGGACTGTATGATGATGCGGTTGGTGCCTGAGAACTAAGACTATTATTCTTTTTAGCCTTAGAGTCCATGCTGTTTTTTTTACTTCTTCCCTGACATCTCCAACATCATCGTTCAATACTAATAAAAGGCAACAACACATTTAGTGAAGTATGCACTAATGTCATAAATGATGCTTACATGGCTGATGCTAATACAACAATACACAGCAAAGGCTGATGCAATATCTTCATCAAACACAGTGAAGTAGGGACCAGTCTTCTTGTTGCAAAGCTGAGCCACACCAAGAACTTCTTCTGAAACAAATAAGAGATATCATATTATACAAAGTGATTGTGTCTTTATTTGGTCTGTTCATAATTACATTTGAAGAACATGAACTGGTCAGGAACAGAAATTCACACCATCCCATTACCCAGGGGGAGTTATCTCAGTTTGTCTTTTGTTTAATGCCTCCTCATCCAGCAATGTCTGCTTGTAAACAATCAAATTTAGACCAGACTAACCAGTGATTGACATTTCGTGCAATTTCCCACACCATTGGGGTATGACCAGGTCACTCAGCCTGACCACCTGATCCATAAAGCCACCTTGTATGACAAGCATAGGTTGCTGCATGGCAACCAATATTCAAGCCTTGAATCCCCACGACAGAGTTCATTTAATGATAAAATAAGAGATATATTTAACTATACTATGGAAGGAAACGTCTTACCCTCTTCATCTTTTATGGGGAAACAGAGGATGTTCCTGAAAGAGGTAAAAATATTAACATGGATCTGTTTATTTATTTATAATGAAATAATAAGATTTTCATCAAAAATATAAAGGGTGTGATGTGCAGGAATTATATGTATATAGTTAACTGTTCAAGGCACATGAAGCATGTATGCATATTTGGACTATGTATATTGTGTATGTTATCAAGTAAAAATAGAAGGGACCACACAGTGATCTTATATGACTGTAGGTACTTTGGGGACAAATGATGCCAGGTGAGCTGTTTGGTAGCGAGGCTGCTGGGGATGAAATCTATTTATTTTAGCCTTAACCTCAGAACGACAAAAATTTAATTCTACAACATCATTGGTGGGACAGTTAGCTTTAAGAGTCATCTCCCTTTACTTGTGTACATGAATTATTGTTTCAGTTTTCTTCAGCATGTTTAAGTGATGTGATGTGAGGGTCGAGAGGAGTATATCAGAACAGACTTTTCATGCCGAATGGTATTATATCAATCATCCACAAATGGATAGTTATGAAACTGAGCATTCGACAAGGAGTTGTCACCTGGTCTTGAACCCTGTTGAATCATCGATGCCTCTGTAGAACAATGGATGGGAGTATGCATCCGGGATGTTAAGCAGGTTACCTGGTCCATTAAAAAAGAATTCTGCTTTTACATTTACACTCACAGTAATGCATGCCATTCTAAATCATAATGGAAAATATATACTTCAGGTTTAACTATATCAGGTTTGAGCATATCCAATATCCATGTAGAAGTAGTGCAAATTGTTATAATAATACTTTCACTTTAACAAGCTTAAATGTCAACCAAAGCTACCACTGATATCACAAATCCATTTTTCACATTAATTTTTCTTCAATTCTCCATAATTTAGAAACTAACATTCAAATATGAATTTACTACAAGGAATATGTTTACAAACAGGTGTATGATGTAAACACATGAAAGAGAAACAGGTCATGAACTCAGTTAGGACCTATGTCCATGTCTAGACATAACCTCTTTGCAAAGAAGCAATATTTTACTGTTGATCATTTTTATGTAGCATTTTAGTTTCCATTGCAGCAAAATCATAATATGCTCCAATAAGTGTCATAAAAAAGCTTGGTCATTTAATATTTCATTCAATCACATATATACGTAACAAAATACTGGTATTGTGTTTACTGTCATTCATTATCTGCGAGTACTAACTAGTGGAAATAACAAAAGTGCCTCTTGAGTTAAATCTGAGGAGTGTCAGTCGCAAATATAGGCTATCACATAAGTTTCAGGATAGCAAACCAGATTTTGTTGTTACTTGCTACCACTGATTTGAGCCATGAATTCTTTTGCATAAACAAATATACATCTCTTTTTGAAAAGTTTAATAATGAAACAGTACAAGAATAGAGGAATAACACAAATAATTCATGTCTGAATCATTTTATCTCACCAGTTGTAGCAACATGTCCTGCTATCCCTTGTGTCTTCGGCATTCTAATTTCCTGCTGTACCTGAAATAGAAGTATATGAGTGAGCGGATGTTGTTTAATGCTGTAGTCAACAATATTCCCCCTATCACAGCAGTCTGTGTGGACCAGACAAACAGTGATTTTAAAGCATGAGCAAAGATTCTTGTTATTGGGGCACTCTGACACACCATCAGCCAAGTCACTGATCACCTGATCCTCTTTTAGCTCTTAGGACAAGCATGGGATATTGCAGAGGTATTCTATCCCAGGTTGGGAAGAGGTGAGGAGCCAGTTACCTGCATTTGAGCAACATCCTTTTCAACAAGGCTGATTCTGAAATCCTGGTCAAATACTACTTAACTGAATGTCTTGTTTCTTACTTGCACCTAGGAACGTCGGATGAGCTCACCTCTTTGTCATTTGCACTTATCCCATCAAACACCTTGGCAACTAGCTCGTCTGTTTCAGGATCAATGAGGAACACAGAACACCTGGAACACAAGTTTTACTGTGGATTGTACATGATTACTTGGGAGAAGGACTCTTTCGTTTTGTAAGTTGTCTGATAAAGCATTCACTAAGTGTGACAGAGTAATGCATTCTTGCATCAGCTGTTGATAAAAATGGAATGTACCATTATGGTATGCTTATCAAATGAAACCTTTTGGAGGACAAAATACAATTCCTGAACAATCAAACGTTAATATCTTATGAAGCCACAAATAGCCCTTTTACATTCCAAATTTGAAAAAAAATCATGAGCACCTCATTTGCCAAATATCTATTCATTCATCATTTACATTCCAGGTGCAATAAAATCATGAACCATTATTTTATTTGAAGGATTAATTTTGATGTTTCCTTACCTTTCTGCATGTGTGAGATTTCTTGCTTCTTGCATAATTTCTCTGAGTAGTTTTGTAAGGTCATCTGAAATGAAGCAGCAGCACTTTGAAAAGGTTTTCTAAAAAGGTCTTTCTTGCTATTTCAAACAATATTAAATGTTATAAAAACTACATTCAGGGCCCTCAGATGAACATAACACATGCACACTAAATAACTTACTCCCCCAATCATTAAGCAAACCTGTCACAGAGAACTTAAACCTAAAATAATTGAGACAAACGTTAATTGCAATGAGCTTTAGTAAGTTTCTACATTTTACATAATGATATCTTGAGGCTGACACTAAAAATAAGATATCAGTGTTAGAAATTGGCACTAGTCCTGACCAAACTGCCCAATAGTAAAGGTATCCTATGGACTAGTAGGAATTGGCCCATTTTAAGGGTTTTGCTATATGTTATCATTATAAGGACTAGTGGATAAAAACTGTTAGTTTCTAACCCTGAAATATCAACATTGATCTATAAGCAGCGAATTAGTGAATCAATGAAATTGGAATTGACAACAACGAAGGCAACATGATTATCACAACTGTGATTTGAAATGTAAGTATTGAAAAGTTAGTAGTAAACATGGTACTTAATTGTACAAAATCATTCCTATTCAGTTACGTTGTCTTCCCAGTGACAAGTCAGTTCTCTAGTGAATATCCAAGCTGCAGGCACTGTGTCATTGTAGCCTCCTTAGGTAGAGTCAATATCATTTGCACATTCCCACACAAACAAGTCATCTTATCAAATTGTACGACGTAACAAAGTAGCTCCTTAAGTGTACTGTATTAGCTAATAAACATGTTTTCTTTGTCAACCATACTGTGTTTGCATTTGCAAGTTCCCAAAATGTTACAATTATGCAACATAGCATATAAATCTGAACAAAGCTGATCAAAGTATGTCTTAAGACAGGTGTTATACTACTTTATGCTTAAACAGAACATCAAATGGCAGGCAACATGTTTTATGGTTTTTGTGTGTTTTTTGTCAGGATAAACATTTCCTTTTGTGGAGGAGAAATTAACTGCTGCCATTTGTAAGTCCCCTGCAGATGTGGACAGTGCCTAAGTCTTATAAATATTATCCTTTTACTAACTGTAAGGACTATACAAATGTGTTACTAAATGGGGGATACGATGAAAACTTCTTTGATAGGCTTGATTTCAGCAGCATCAATAAGACATAAAATGGCCGAAAGGGAGAGGTAGCTAGCTGAAGGCAGCCCAGACACGCTGCAGCTGCATATTATTGTCCACTAACACTGGCTCGTCACTGAGTGCTGTCACCTATTGTTAAAGCTGTTGGCTGAAACTCATACATTTCTAAACCTGAACAAGAAACACAACAAAGACAGAACTGCTGATGTTTAAGGTTCAACTGGAAACAAGAACATGAATTCTTGCACCTACTTTTCTGTAAGAGATTGCCCCTAGCAATAGGCACCTGTATCTGTGACATGACATAAGTGCTTGGTGTCCACAACTCCTGCTGGTGCCGGAGCCAGCTTGTGGTATTGGTGGGGATCTCACTGAAGGAGCGGATGTAGGGCACATGTTTGGTGGAGATGATATGCTTTACCTGGGTTTCAGTGTCCTCTACAATCACTGTTTGCTCAGACAGTTGTCTATCATCCATGTTCAGGGTGAGGGCAAGCTCACTGTTGAACTGTTCCATGCTGGAGAAGTCTTCATCGATGAATGCAGTGTTCAAGAAATTGGAGCTGCTGCCTAAGATGGTGAAGCTTGTATTACCTTGACTTCCAGTCTTGGCTAAAGTAGGTTCACTTACAGAGATGTGAACCTGGCTTCCACCTCTGTCAGAATCTACAGTTTTCACAATATCTGGCAACTGGCTGGATATATTTTCTGAGATAATACATGAATCTGATCTACTTGTCTTCAGCTTCAAAGTAGCTTCAACCCATATATCAAAGAACCTCTGTTTGCAAGTCATGTCATCATCATCTTCATCTGCCATAATTCCGGATGATGATGACTGTCCATCAATGTCCTCTGAGAGTCCAACAGACAGGTATTCATCACAGCTCACATCAGTGAAGACGGGGCTGAAGTACTTCTCAGTGCCACTCATTGGTGATACTTGGTGCAAGTCCAAGTCCTCATCACTGCTGTTGAAGAAGTCGCCGCTTGCTGCCTGGTCCTTGGTAGGCATAGGTGGATCAGATTCAGCTGAAGCCTTTGGTTTTCTCTTGTAGGGAGAGACTGAAGCAGCTTTCTTTCCAGGTTCATCTTTTGATACTTTAACATTTGGAGATTTCAGCTTCGGGTGAAATTTGTGGTCTAATTTCCCTGCTTTTTCAGGTGACCTATTATTGCTACTGTTAGTGAGTGCATTTGCAAGCTTTTCTTGCTGTTGAAGCTGCTTAATTATGTTAGTGTCCATGGAGGTATAAGCAAGCAGGGAGGAATTGTTAAAACTCTCATGATATTGTTCACTCATTGTCACTGCAGTGCTATAGAGACAGTCACTAAAAGAGGTAGATACTTTGTTAAATGCACAAAAATGCTTGCCAAGTGCAAAAACAAACTCACCTAGGCGGGTGAATAGATTTTTGGCAACATGTAAAAGTGCCTGAAAAAAGAAAGAAAAGATATCTATATCTTCATCTTCTTCTTCTTTCCATGTGACAGTTTGATACAGGTGCATGTACCTTTATCATGCAAGAAATCCAAATAAAGGTTGAAAAATAGTGCCACAGCACAGTAGCTCACCTGGATATGTAGTCTCAAATGCCAACAGAGACAGCCACTCAAACAATGTTGTCAGCATTGCTTCTCAAATATTTTCAACATAATTATTGAAGACAAAAGTTTTAACGAAATCGATACAAGTTACTGACTATCCACAATGGGCAAGAATGAATGTATTATTGTAGAACATTGTCGAAATACACACAAAAAATTGTTTGTTGTTTATTCCACTAATATGACATCAGTCCGTAAATAAGTCAGGATAAGACAATCCAGTGATTGACAACCTTCTGATAATAATATATTTTTTAATGCCATATAATTTTTCCAATTGTTTCACAAAAAAACCACTAATGATTTAAGTATAGTATGATGTTGTTATAAAGAGAACCACACATGCCAAAGTTCTTCCTCAGTCTGGCATTTTCAGAGATGTGTACAGAGCAAATAAACCTGCATTTTGAGATAATTTAAGACATTTACAGTGTATTTTGAGCAGAAATGGCTGAGCATTGGCCATCAAAATAACTGCAGAGTCAGACATTTTGATAATCAAATTCGAACTTCTTGAGCAAATTGGAGTGTCACTATTGGTGGGGACATGCGTGTGAAGTTTAAGCTACATTTGTACAGTGGTCTGTGAGGAGATGATGTCTATAGTTTGAGGAAGTGCATTTTGGAAGAATTTAAGAACATTGTCAAATTGCAAAGGCCAAAATTATAAATATCCCCCAAAGTGTTGAGCATACATGTGTTGAAATAACCACACATATATCAATACATTTTGAACAAAAATCTCTGATGGCTGTGTAATTGCCATAAGAAGTTTCTGCTTTCAGTATTGTCAAAGTGTCAAAGTCAAATCAAGGTCAAAATTCAAAAGAAAGCAAAAGAAACTGGAACATGTTGATCTCCTCTACTGACTACACATGTACCAAGTTTCATTCATTCAATATGGCTGCCATAATGAAAATCTGATTTGAACCTCTGAACAAACATAAGTCCAGATATACAATGAACACATAAATAGTGTAACAAAAGCATTAACATGCATAATTCAATACTGATAACTGATTTGTTGATATTCTATTTCTGATGACGGATCATGACAGTCATATATACTGACAGCCTGAAATGGTACTTCAGAAAAGTCTGTGCGCATCATAAAATGGAGATATATTTTTCCAGACAATAGTTGCCCATAATTCAGTGTGCGTATAACACATGAATGTGTATTTTACATGAATAAATAAGTCTGTGTACATTGATCAATCAGAAAGGGGCGCCAAAATATGAGCAAATATCGCCATAGGCACTTATTAGAGCAGGGTGCTTGTTAAGTCAAATATGATACATAGAATTGACACTAACTAATTGCAGCTTCTGAGAGGGCATCTCCTTTTTTAGGGATGAATTCATAAAGCAATTTACATGACTTCAGCATATTGCTTAATCAAATTATCTTACTTGAGTTTGAATCTTGAGCTTCCTTTCATTTTGAAATGCCAGTGTGCTGGTGAGAACAGTGGCGGTGTATTGAAAACATTGGTGGATTGCATAAACATCTTCACTAGTGAACCTGAAAAAAGAATGACATATAACAGAATGTTTCTGCACATAAACAAAATATCACAAAAATGCAACTTTAAGATCATTATAAAGTGCTTCATATAAAGTGGAATTGAAAATAACTTTATATTTTAATATCAAATTGCCATTGAAAATGATGCTGCCCCATACCATTACACTACACCCTCAAACTGATGACTTTAAGTAACACAAGTGTCGCTGTTACATTTTCCTGTAGCCTGTAGACTCTTGCACGACCATCAGTGCTGTCCAGATGAAACCTGGACTCATCTGTGAACAGTATACTGTCTCAGTCTTGTCTTCTGTACCTCAGATGATGTCAACACTAGGCATAGGCATGCCTGACGGTGATATGGAGGCAAAAATGTGGAGTTTTGATGAAAATTAAACTGGCGCCATTTGCTCCTTGCAGCATACCCACAACGTGAACACGTTAATTTTCAGCAAGCTGTGGCAATGTGTAAGTGTTATTTATTGTTAAACAAAACTGTTTTTATGTGCACCTGATAGCTAAACAAAAACCATGTGTATGAGTTTTATGCTGCCAACAAACATGCAAAAACATCCAAATTGTGCGCTGTGCATTAACATGCACATGCAAATTGTAAATGATCAATCATGACCTCAATGTCGAGGATGTGTCTTCATTATTTATTTCAAAATAAGTGAATTTTTATTGAACTTTATATGAAACACAATCACTGTTTTCCATTAGTATATTTTCATGATTCATATGTAATACATCTTCCCGAGGCAAGAGCATCCACTAGCCTTTTCATCAAAGTCTTGTTTCCATCCTTGCCACATCAAGCCCACTTTCCTGTGCTAAATATGATTGGACTATCGCACATATTGATAATCCACTCAGAGAACATTTCACAAAATCAACATCCACGACTGGTATACATTCTTATGAAAGTGATTTACTGCTGCCTGTCTTTATTGATACGAATATGTCTTTTTCATCTTTTATAGCCCCGAACGATTGCCTATGTTTTTGTGTCAGGGATGAAATCATGAATGTTTTCGTTATCTGATCAACAAGGTTGTCGCCTATGGTAGTCGCCATCTTTGTAAAGCTATAAGCGATAAGAACAGTGTTCTGATTGGATATGGCATTTTTATTACATGGGGCACAACTCATGATCTAAGCGAGGTGGCGCCAGGCTCAAAGCCAAGAAAAGTGGCTTTGATGTGGCAAGAGTAGAAACTAGGCTGTGATATAGGCTTGTGGACACGCTTGCCTCGGGAAGATGTATGTAATACTGCTATACCTGATAGTTTGTAAGTACTGCAATTTTTAAGTCCATGGGTTCATGTCATGACATAAAAAAATAGTGCTTAGACAGTGTAGCTCCCCTGATATGTAGTCAACAGTTCATAAAGACAGGCACTTCAAAAATAGTGCAGTCAGCATTGATATTAGAAATAATTCTGCATATATACCAAGGAATAAAAACTGACACTAAAGTCTAATGATTTGAACCAAATATGATCATCATTGGCAGAAACATACATGCCAAAGTTCAGCTGGTGAAACAAGGTCAAAATTAAATATATTGCATAAAACATGTGTATTGAAACTAAACAAATACCAAATTTCAATACATTTCAAAATGGATGAGTAATGACCATCAGGAGTTTCAGCTGGCAGTAATATGTCATCACGACAGAGTGAGTGAGTGAGTGAGTATGGTTTTACGCCGCTTTTAGCAATATTCCAGCAATATCACGGCGGGGGACACCAGAAATGGGCTTCACACATTGTACCCATGTCGGGATTCGAACCCGGGTCTTCGGCGTGACGAGCGAACGCTTTAACCACTAGGCTACCCGACCGCCCCCATCACGACAGAGAACAAGCATGTGAAATTTCAGCTTCATTGGTCTTTTCTTATAATGTTTGCAGTGTGAGAAAAAATATTTTGGAGAAATTTAAGTGAGTGAGTGAGTGAGTATGGTTTTACGCCGCTTTTAGCAATATTCCAGCAATACCACGACGGGGGACACCAGAAATTGGCTTCACACATTGTAACCATGTCGGGAATCGAACCCGGGTCTTCGGCATGACGAGCGAACGCTTAAACCACTAGGCTACCCGATGACATTAGAAATAAAATACAATGTTTATTGAAATCCTACCCAATTGTTCCTTTTTTGTTGGCAACACATGCTAGGGCAATCAAGTCATCACTGCTTTTCCTCCTGACTGGCACACACAGAAAGGATTCCAGTTTCAAACCTATGTGATCTTCCAAACCTGCCCGGCGGTCCTGTCAACACAATACATAGAATGATCACTTTAACTGAGTTGACACCCTAAACCCATTCTATCTAAACATCATGATCATGTAACTCTGTTGTTTTTTCAGAAATATGGGATACAAGCATATGGAATATTACAATATAATTCTTATTTTGGACCAATGTGCAGTCTGCAAATTTATCTCCCAGTTCAAAGATAATGCCTTGTCAAATGTCCAATGTAAGATTAAGCTTTACAAATCAAAAGTTTTGACTTCACAACAGTAAAGATTTCAGCACAGCCTTTATAAACATATGCTAAATTTGAAACACAATATCACTTAAATAAATGAAAATAAACTGTAAAATTTAAGAACCATGGAACATCTATAGATCCTGGATGATAGTATTACTTATTTTATTCATCACATGTGATCCTGACTATACACAAAAGAACACTTAATTCAACATTAACTAACATGAAGATGCATGAGGTATGGGCTATCTTATATCCAATATCAATATATTTCAACCTGCATGCAATCCCTCTTGCTATCAATTATAACAACAGGCATGGTCAACAAAATTTCATACGGCAGAAGCATTTTTTCAATTACAAAACCTTCAACACATTTGCTCCTTTAATCATGTTGAGAAGAGTTACTCTAGCAATTTCCCCAGGCCAACAAGCAGACCGGTGGTAATTTATGATACTGTTCATTATAATGACACTCAAAACATGCATGGCCAATTGACAGACAGAAGATTTTCCCACCTGTGGAATATCCTCCAGGCATATTGGCTGCTTGGTTTGCAGAGCAACAGCAAAACTGCTGGTTTCTCCCTGTAAAACAAATGACGAGTATCTATATTAGCACTCAAGGCTACATGATGGGATTAGCTGTTATTGGGCTTTCTCTTCATCATACACAATTGCTGGCTGGAGGGGAACAACTTGATGGATCAGGTCGGAGGTGGTATGGTAGCTATTGTTCTTATCAGTCTTTATAGGGCAGTATAAAAGAGATTCCTGAAAAATATCAAATTTTGCAAAATTGTTCTCAGAAAAATTTATTACACCTATTTGAGGACATACCAATATAAACAAGTATGAGCTAGTCATATCCCTTGCAGAACTAAAGCTCCTGACCACAAATGGTGCCTGGGGAGTTAAATGACACTTAATCAAAACCTGATTTACACTCTGCTAGCTGACTGGTACCTTCAGCCATCTCAATAGGATGGTGCTATATAATCAAAGATCACTGGGGTCAGTGGTTATCATTGGAAACACTAGGGATTTTCATTAGATGGAACTTAACAGCACCCATTTTTTTCCCCCCTCCCACTTCATGGCAGGGGATAAAATATTTATGTAAAAACATGGTATTATGCACAAAAAATTGACTTGAATCTTGAATAGAGTGTATATAATAATTGAAAAATATTGGGGCTGGTGGCACAAAAAATCTTTAAAATATGTGAAAGGGCATTTTGGCACGTTTGTCAGTTCATTGTCATCATCAATGGCAAAGTTGTCTCATGGACATTAGCCATTAGTTACTGTATGGTATTCATTTGCTGCTAGCAGCTACAGTTTTACAAGATAATTCCATTCAGATTGCTGAGGCAGTAAAGAATAAAGATTACAGGAAGAATTCCTGCCTGTGGCTTTTATTACTGTCCATGTGCTGGAGCCCAAATCAGGAAAATGGCTGGTGTCTTTATTTTGAAAAGGAAATGGATCTCTGATTGCTTTGCACTGATCTCAAATTAACAGAGCAAACTAAGGCAAGTGAAATTCTGTTCACGATCCATAATAGAAATGGAAGTTATTTATACATGATGATGTCAGGAAGTTTGAGAACTGAAATGAGGGTGTAAGCAAAAAGCAATGGTAGAAAATATACATATTGTCAGCACAATCACACGATACTTAGATGCTATGTAGATTATCTTGATGAGATATGAAATTATTTTTCTATTTCTTAAAGTCTTTCCCACATGTAGATTCTGCATTTACTACCAAAGACAAAAATGTATGGTAGAAGACATTGTAACATTTTCACTTACTAATTATTAATCCATATTAGCAAAAGAAACCTGAAAATGAACCTTGAAATAAATATTTTAACTCTATTCTGACATTGTTGTGGAAAGAAGCTTGTTATGAACTATAAACAAGCCCAAATAGCTCTGCTTTGATGATTCCAAACCATGCATCGTGCACAGTACATAACATGGTCCACATTTCTGTATTCTCTGCATATTATCCAATCATCACGGTTATTTGTTACTGACAAATTTGAAACACTGGTGCTAAAAGCTCTGGAAAAATTACAAATAATCAAGCAGGTGCTCTTTTGTCTTTACATCACTCACAGCTGATAGGCAACATGAGTACAGGATTCTACCTTCTCATGCTCAGTTTGGACTGACATGTACGTTTGTTGAAATAATCAAGGACTGTGTTTACACAACAGATCTGCACACAAACTGTATCTAAGCAGTATATGATAGCTACAGTGTTGAGATATGATGACAGATGTCAGTTTGTTTATATCCCAGCAGTGCCAGCAGTACCCCAACAGTAGTCTTCAATACAAAGCAGTCAGGCTTAAGCAGCTTAAAAGGTGACCTAACTGGATAAAGAGAGATGAAGGCAGCAGGAAGAAAGAGCATGACTTAATGCTGTCACATACAAGGAGCTCTGGGGACACAATTGTCTTTCTGTAAGACAGTGCAGTCTTCAGTGTTCTGGCATTATCTTCCCAAGTGGATCTAATGGGATTCACAAATTGCCAGATCGATCAACAAAGGCAAGCACTTGTGTCAAAGTCTAAGATACCTTTGCATCATCAACTTTGAGCACATTTTTTTCTATTCTTTCAGAGCAAACGTAATACCATTGAATAGTGATGGGCATCAGAGGTTTACAGTGTATCTCAATATCTTGCGATGCACAAGGCCGTATTGCAAGATTTATCATGATATAATTTTTTAACTTGACGTTTACGCGATATACAGCTTTTCCACTGGACGAGAGGTCGGTCACATGACCACAAAATTGACGTTCATAAGTGTATGAACGACACAATTTAACGTTCATACGTTTTTCACAAGACCGTGTTCTTGAAATGACGTCAACACTGACGGACTACTTCCACATTCCTGGGGAAACCCCTGGGAATTCCCTAGCACGAAAACATACATAAGCATTATTTCTAATCATTTAGAACCTTTAATCTTGGTCTCTGCATTTCAGTATACATTGAGAAACGTAAGAGGTAAGAAATTGTGATAAAAAATTATAAGAATTGACTTTCACTTTGGGTGAGTTCATTGGAGTATGAACCTTCATAGAGTGAGGGCCAAACATTGTATGAACGTCGGAGCTTCCAATCATCTCACACAAAGTGAAAGGTCAATTCTTAAATAATGTATAACTCTAAATTTTTGATTCAGAAGCCAACTTGTGACAGAATGCAATATTTGTGTTATCAAATTTGCCATCTGTTTGTTTTAGACAGAAGTGCTTACACACTTTGCCTTTCACTTTTGACAACTGATCACACCGCCATCTTGTGACACTGGATGTTGATGATTGAGGTTTTCGAATGCACATAACTAAGAATTAACCTCTATCTTCGCGATAAAAATTGCTTTTTGAAATCACTTGATATACTGTGCATTAAAAAATGATATTGTGATAATACACTGATACGTATCATGGAAAGATTGAACCTCAATTTACCGATATACTGGTAATACTGTGCACCACTGAATATCTGTAGCTTTTTTAGGCATATATATGTACAGTCAAGCCCATTTTCCCGTGGCAAGAGAGTTAACTATCTATAAAAGTCCAGTTTCCACCCTTGCCGAACTAGGCTGGTATTATGGAGTTACATTTTGGCTGTGCTAACGAGTCTATGCTTAGTCCAATCAAAATTGCGCAACAAATTCGAAATCCGGTTCGTAAACTGTCATGCTGATTTCGGTCGATTGCAGGATTAGCAAAGCATGTGCACCGCCAACTTGTTGTTAACAGATATTTTCCAAATCTTTTCATGATTTTAATCAAGGTGCTCACGTGATTTGATGCACTTTACGATGTAAGACCCGTTTTAACACAATAAAGATCTTGATAATCGATCAGACCACCTTGACTGGGTGCCGCCATCTAGTTTGAATCAAATGCAAGTGATACGAGAGGTGGAATCTGATTGGTCCATGGGAGAGGTTTAGAAGGGTCTTAACTTGTAATAACCACTGGTGGCACTACGATCGAGCCCAGGAATTCAAGCCTAGTTCGGCAAGGGTGGAAACTTGACTTTTAAAGTCAGCTAACTCTCTTGCCTCGGGAAGATGAGTCAAACCCTGTTATCTTGAACCTAGTGGGACTGTGTTGTAACTTCGAGATATTTCGGACAATCGAGAAGCATGAACATCCAGACAGAAATCAACAATAGCTGAGTGAGTGGCACCTGGTCTTAGTATTTTGTAAAAACTTTTCACCTATCTCTGACATACTGCAATAGTGTTAAAATGGTACATCCAAGTGCATTTTTACTTAGTCTGTCCACTTGACAGAAAAAACAAAGTGACTCTCTCACCTCAAGGTGAAGTCACGGCTTGGATATTGGAGTAGCGTCACACAACTTTGATTCCTTTAATCTGACTTTGATTAGCACTATTTGATGTAGCCAGAGAGTGCCACACGTTATTACTCATGTTAACCCACATCGTTATGTTTGTCAATAAAGATTACCATTACAATTGGATCAAAAGGTAAGTCCATTATTGGTTGAACAATTGGTTCAAATTGCACTGTACTTTTACAGCAATGTTACATGTGTGAGGAAAGGTATAAGATATACATGTATCTTGGAGAATTGCTCACCGTTATGTGAGATGCTTATGAAAAATGTTAGTGTGACAAATGCCTACTTTGAAATAAAGGTACAAAATTCAATAGTAAAGTCAAAGTTATGACTGAATCCAAGGTTTGAGATAAAGCTTTTAATATATTCATGATAAGCAGGCAGACTTATATGTGTTTACTGGGACCAGAGAATAGGTTGGCAGCGGTAGAAACTAACATTTTTGGTCCACTAGTCCTTGTAATGATAATATATAGCAAAACCCTTAAAAATGGCAAATATCTATTAGTCCTTATGATACCTTAACTATTGGGCAGTTTGGCAAGGACTATAGGACTAGTGCCAATTTCTAACCCTGGTTGGAGATATTGGCACATTCAAGATAATGGGTTTGATTGTATTCCTAGTACTAGCCACCTACCAACAGAAACAGCATGTTGGTGAGGTCTATGTGATCTCAGATGCAAGAATAAGGGACGTTGGTGAAAATGAAGTTACAAAAAACAAAAGAAATGCAATTATTTGTTGTGTTCATGTCAGTAAAATATTTCTGAGCAGATCTTTCACAGTTAGCATTCAAATTACAATGAAAAAGCTGCTTTGAAGTAGAAGTAACACCAGTGTTTTATAATGAGGATAAAATGCCTGAACCTTGTCAGTGATGCTTGGGTGGCAACTTGTGGCTGGCTATCACTAATTTGTTTCCATTCCCAATGTTTTCGCTTATCAGCACATTAAAGGTTCAGCATTTCCCAGGAGAACAGCTGCATTTCAAAGTCTAATTACTGTATGGCAACTTCTCACATGCAAATGAAATATGATGTAGAGTTCTTATATATAATGTGGTAACACAATGTCAACATTGCAAAAACACAAAGAAAGCCTTTATTATACTCACTGGAAAGCGAACTTCTTCTTGTAATATTTTAGTTCCAACTACCTGCAAATAGTTAGCACATGAACAAATAAACAACAATTGTGTGATGTAGCATCCATTACCAGTACTAGCTTGAGTGAACAATGGGGCACAATAAACATTTCTTTGACAAGGAGAGATACTTGACAATGCTTTGTTTCATTCCATTATGACTAATTGTTACAAGTATAGAAATATAAGATCAACAAAAGAGACAAGCAAATCATAATCAACTGATTTTTTGACAACACTATGCAGTTACATCAGCTCACACTTTCTTTTCACATTACATTCAAGATATTCACATTAAAGCAAAATAAATATATTCATGAAACCATTGTGGCACTTTTTCTTGCTAGACTTTCGTGCAGGCATTTTCAAAGCATTTGAATATTTTTTTTTTTATAATTATGGACTGAATATATCAAATGAGGAAAGAGAAACTGGCTTTGTTGTCAAATGTCATGGCGGTTGAATGTAGTTATGGACACACAGTTCCAGTCTTTGATGTCTCTTATGTTGGCTGTATTCAATGGCCATGATAAAGGGTGCTGTATCAGTACATTGAGATGTGATCACTGTTCCTTCCCACTGCATTACTGTTGAGCAGCAGTGGGAAATGGCAGTGTGTCGGGCATCCATGAACTACATGTTACTTGTCAATTCCACCACCAGCTGACACATAACTGACATTTCCACTAATGAAACAAGAGCCTAATGATAGCTAGTGCCATGAATTGTCAATGTCAATCACACATGAAACATAGCAAGACAGATATTGAAATATACCTGCAAATACAACATTAGGCCACTGGTCAGTCTAGGATGAATATTTACCTATTTCCTGGCACACCCTATCAATAGCATAGTCATAAAGCTATCAAGCCATGGAGAATGAAACTCATCATAAGAAGGAGGGATATACTGATGCTAGCCAGGCACACCTAAGTCAAGGCTGTTTACAAAGAAAGAATTATGGGATCTATTCCTAGAAATAGGATCCAATCAATGATTGTGCCTTCAGCATTTTCTACTACAAGATAACAAAATAATTCCATCAGATCCATATACTGTAGAGAAATTTGGATTTTCAGATGAGGCCAACCGAGAAGAAATCAATGCGGTAGCATTATCCTGTCATTACATTTTGGATTTGATTTTCTACCCTTTTCACACTATGTACACAACTCTTTCAGATAAGTATACAAACATCATTGGGCTTAACATCCCTTGTGACCAGTTGGGAGATAGTTTAATTTCACAATTCATGTAACAGTATCATGTCTGATAATTGGAATGATCTCATAAATCACATAATGTCAACTTCAATATTTTGTAGAATATGCAGAATGTATCTAAAATTCAACCATATGACAGAGATTTGGTAAGATGTAAAGCTCATCCTTACCTGACAGAAAAGTTCATTTGTTTCTTTGACAACAAGCAGTAAAAATGCTGTCTGTGCCTGTGTTCGTTGCTCCAACTGCCAAACAAAAATATCAAGAAAATAGTCAATATTATAACAAGCATACATGGTATACAAGTGAAGCTGAAAGTAGGTATGGGCATAGCCAGAGTAATATGTATTGCTATAGACCGACTGCACTGAAATATGTATATATTCATATCAGAACCTAGAGTCAGTCTAGCTCTCTAGTCTGAACCAAGTTCATAGTGGACTGCAAATGATCCATGCTGGGGTGATGTTTAAATAAATAGGTTACTTAACTTGTTCCCTTTCACGAGCCTGAAGCTACTGGGTTGCTATTGATATTCATTTTTCTGCATTATTGAATATGATATTCATTTTTTTAAAGCTCTCCCCTCACAAATCATAAATATGTTATTTTATACTTGACAGTTAATCCAACACAAATAGACAAAACACAAAGTCTAAATAAGAAAAATAGCAACATGCATCATGTTTGTTGAATAATATTAACCTCCCACTGCAAATTTTAAGGAATTGATTGTTCAACATGACAACCAGATAACGGGCAGATGGGCTATTGCAATTGAAATACTTAAGCTATTTTATTACTTACATATTTAATGACTTTGAGTTGAAGTGATGCTGCGTCATGGTCATATAGTTCTCCTACATAACAACAAAAATACATTATCATGATGAGTAAAACATGACAATGTGATAGCCTACCCTGTAAATTCTTGAAGTAACAACAAGTGATACAAAGTAGCCTTACACATCAGTTTATTACTAGAGTCTTTCACAATTGAAACTATGATGTCACTAGATTTCAAAGTAAAATTTAAAGGCAATATGAAAACACTACTTTGTTAATTGACAAAAGACAATACCAAGCATGTGAGTGAGTATTGGGCGCATTCAGCAATTTTCTCATCAATATCATGGCGGGGGACGGGCTTCACACATTGTACGCATGTGGGGAATCGAACCCAGGTCTTCGGCGTGATAGGCCAACGTTTTATCTACAAAGCCACCACATCACCCCATACTAAGCATGTAGAATGTAAACAAGGATTTATCAGACTTGACATGGTACCCGCTAAGTCTAGCATTAAATTACATTGTTTATTGGGTATTTATATGTTACTTATGTCATTGTTGTGCAGTGAACCTGACATGACAATCAACTACAGAATGTCAGCAAAGGGCATTCACATATTTGCATTAATTTCATGCCTATGTTAATTTGATGGCATTACTGAGATGCGTTTTGTCTGATTTCTAAATACTTGTCCAAGTTTGAGGGTTTGAATGCAGCAAAAAAAACCTCACCACACAAATTGATGAGGGCTTCAAAGTGGGTGTCATCTGCACAAATGCTCCTTCTCCGTGTCACAGAGTTTTTGGTAAGATGATAACAAACAGATACCTGAGAACATTAGGACATAAAACTGATGCAAGGTCTATTTTAGAAATCAGAGACATTAAATATAAGGAGTTGGATATCTTGCATCCCAAATTAACTGAGTCTTGAACAGTATTTCAGTTATATCACAGCATATATGTCTGCATGATTCTTTTGATGTACTGAAGAACAACATAGTTTCACAAACATTCTATATCATCCCTTTAAGCAGATTCTTATGTGGACTATCAGATTTACAAACCTAATCTTAACCAGCACTTCACAACCTAATCTTAACTCTTCACAACCTAATCTTAACACTTCACAACCTAATCATAACACTTCATAATCTGGTACTGTCTGCATTTGAAATAAAGCATAAATTGGAAATACTTCATTTCTTCCTTCAATAAAACAGAATTTAAGTAAACTGCTGGATGAACATGATGTCAATAGGTGAGTGTAAAATCTTGAAATCATCGACAAGATTAACTGTATCATAAAATCTGTTTTGCCCAAATATTGTAAAGCACAGTGTTTTTCTGCCACTGATTCAACAGGCTTAGTTCCCAGCTGTTGCCTAGCTACAACACAAAGGATCAATGAATTAAGGAAGTGCTTTCTTCAATCTAAAACGGCTTCCAGCACAATTATTCCTTGTTTATGAAGTGGGATAATTGTCCTCTAGGAACCCTACAAACACTGTTGTTGAGATGGCCAGTAACGTGAAGTAACATTGAAAAAGATGATTCACCTTCAAAACAAATTATCCCTTTTATGAACAAATTGATTCAAGCATTGAAGAAATAAACAGATGTTCTGATATAATTTCTTCATCCATCCTACATTCTACTGTTTTCCAGCTTGCTTTTTCTAACAAATGTCAAATATCAATCTTGAAGTTTTAACCAACTTAATCAATTCCCAAGACTACTACATATGTATATATATATGTATATAACTTTATCATTTGGAATGAATAGATCTTATCTCCGTTTCAAGACAGGTTCATAATATGCTTAGTTACACTAGGCAAATATTATTTATCATATAATGTGTAGGTTTCCCTGGTAGGAAAAAGCCAACAGATAAAAGTGGTATCCATTGGGTTATTTACGATTGAATATGCAAATAGATAAGGTCAGGTACTACTTTCAGTGTTCAAAAACAAATATGGTCTCATCTAGTGGTGGGGCGATACACCAATGCATTGGTGGATCGCGACATTTTACTTCCTGATACAAGTATCGATCACAGTTGCACACAAAGTAAAAAATATTGATTCATACCTCAAATGTTTACTTTAATGCCTGTTACACCAAACACTAATTAGTAGTGAAAAAGTAAATATTTTCATCCATTGCCCCATACTTGACACTGCCAACTGTAAATCATCGTGTGCCAGGTATCTGACTATCCCGTCTATGAAAAAGATGGCCTACGAACCACAGATAAGAGCACATACAAGTATCGTGATATGTATCGGATTGTGAACAAGGTATTGTGATACGTATTGGATAGCACAGTTGGTGTATTGTCCAAGCCCTAGTGTCGTCCTTCTCTATTTACATTATGGTGCATCCATGTGCAAAAGGTGTTCAAAACAACCTACCTGTTTTGCTAGATATGTGAGGTTTCCTTCTTCAGTTGCTGAACAGGAAGTTTTACCAGGTGGTAGGGATGCCTGTATTCAAAGATCATGGTTCAACTATGTCAAGCAAACATCTATCTATGAGACTCACATGTCCCCCACCTACAACATGGCTGCAAATCCATTGGAAATTAATTCCGCCATTTGTCACACTTTTGGACACATTTGTTTGCATGCCTCATATCCAACATCTATTGTTTAATGCTTATTATCAAGCAGATATATACTGTCTGTCATGACAACAAAACAGCAGACACACGAAGGGTGGCTGTAAAGGTCTCTGTCTAACTATGAAGGATGTATAGTACATCCCTAACATGTATTGAGTACAATATTTTCCATGCTTACAGTCTGCACTTGAACACAAAACCAGACAGAAAATTTCTGCAGTATCACAGTGATTATGTATTCTCTGTTGATATAAATGGATAAAGATGTGCTGTGCTGTCATCAAGTAACTCCAACAGCCATTTTTGCAAACTTTGTGTCAACTTTAGGGGATGATGATGCTTCATTTACCACTACCAAGAGGTGGAAAGTGGATTTAAAGAGGGGAAGAGAGAACCTCGAAGATGATCCAGGATCAGGAAGACCTTTAACTGCCACCATTATGAAACATGTTGCTAAATACATAATATGTTTATGGAAGATCAATGAGCTACCACATTTCACATAGTTAATACAGTAGGCATCTCTCATTAGAGTGTTGAGAAATGAACTGGGCATCAGCCATATGACAAAGGTTTCAGCACGCTGGTTTCCAAGGATTCTGACTTCGGATGAGAAATGCTCCAGGTTCTTCATGAGAATATATGCATAGAGCTGATTTTCTGGAAAGATCTGTGGCCATGTTTGAGAAGTCTTGGCAAAGCATCATGTTACACAGGACAATACACCTGTGCACAAGTCGGTTGTCACCAAGGCTGCAGCGCAAGACTGTGAACTTATTGACCATCTTCCGTATTCACCAGACCTGTCACTGTCCTATTTCCACCTCTGCCCAAATTTAAAGAAAAAAATGTCTGGCAAGCATTATCATTGATTATGCAAATGTGGATGATATCCTTTCTGCTATGGACGTTTACACCATCAGGAGGAAGACTTCTACACCTGTGGGATCCAGGCACTCCAGCATCATTGGCAGAAGCGTGTGAACCATTGAGCGGATTATGTTAAAAAATAATTAGCAAAATTCCAACACAGTCCATCATAGTTAGGTTCAGAACGTTTCAGCTATCACTTGCAAGTAAAAGGCTTGTTTACATGGTCTTAACCATTTGTACAATAACCACAATTGTGTGTTTATATGCCCCAAAGGGACATGTCTACACAACAGTTTAACTGTTATAAAAGTCCATTATATTTCTGATTATCAGTACAGAGACAAAACTCGCTCTTCCATATCTATTAGGGACTGGCCTTGTCAGTGTCACATAGAGAGGTATGAGCATGTAGACCACAAATATATATCATGATATATCTTTTATAAATTTTCGATAATTATGTCACAGTTCATGCAGCACGGATATGTAATTTCACACCAATCACTTCAAAAGGCATTTCAATATCTGATTTTACTGAAAGATAAAGGTAAACATATTATTGTTCATACATAGTGTTAGACCACTGATGTACCATGGTGCAGAATAACATGGATAATCAACTTCGACATTTAGTATACTGACTCTGAACCAACCAATCCTTGTTTTATAACCGTAATACTGAGCGCTAGATAGGGTAACAAAAAATCCCATCTTAAACGTCTTTGGAATAACACGGCTAGGAGTGAACCACCAACCTTTCTCTCTATTCACCAGATCACAGAGGTGGCACAAGGAATTGAGCTATATATGTGTAATGATTAACTTCATGAATGAAATTTCCTGAAGATTTGAAAATCTGTTATTCTCTTGTGGCCTTTCCCCTTTTTAAGTGGTAGATCTATGTATTTCCAGGAAGTGATTTTGGCAGATATCAAATTCAAAAGATTTTTTTTATGTATCAAATTGAAAATGTGACATGGAATCAAAAGTGCATAAATCATAATGCAATACATATCTAAAGATCATTGTCTTCCTGCTAAATGGTGTGAAGTATTGAACTGAGAGGGAACCAAAATGATATGCTGGCTACCTAAATCAATTTCTCTTTTATCAACATCCAACTATAAATGGAATCAGTTTTGATCCAGGAAAATCATTTTGAAGAACAATTGCTTCTTTCCTGCCCAGGTTTGTTGCTATAGGAACTAACAATCCTGGAGCCTTATTGAGGATCTGGGGCTGCTCAAATTTTCAATCAATGCTGTATGAATTTGGCCTGAGCTGCTCTTCATTCACTGTAGGAATGTCTAACCCAAATCAATGACCAGTATCAGTTCACAGTGTATGTTCTACTGGCCAGTTGTGAAGTTGCAACACATAACCATATGATGCTGATTTATTCTGTCTGTGGGAAAACAGCACATATAACATTATTCATGTCAGTGCTAACATAACGACTTGTGTTTTGGAATGAAATAATGACATTGGTGTAGTCTGACAAAAGTATAATAGAATGTCATGTCAACAAATCCATTATAAGTTACTCAAAATGGTTGAATTAGAGACATAACCCATTGTGGCTTATCTGTTGTAATTTTGTAACATAATAATTAAAAATCATTAACATGATTGAATGACGAGATGAATCTTGAAACCCAGTAAGAAAGGACTAGTGGGAAAGTGACCCATCAACAATATCATGTTCTTCACCAATCAATACTTCATGTCATGGAGTGGGATGTTGCATCATTTCACTTATTGCAGTGAAACACTTGCCTACCTTTATTTAAGCATCAAACAAAATACAGTAGAACATGGACATAACGAACTACAAGGGAACGGAGAAATCAGTTCGTTATATACAATGTTCGTTACATACGTTTTCGCTTGGAAACGACCGCCATCTTGGATAAAACAAACACAATACACATAATTGTAGCATTGCCCGCCATGATAGCATGTACTAATGAAGTGACACTTTGACATCATCTCGTGAAATTTATGTTTGTCTTACAGACAAGGTTAGTCCAGTTACAGGCAAGATAAGCATAAAGCAAGTTCAACAAGTATGAATCATCACCGCTGATTGTTTTGATTCGCCGCTGATTACGTATAGCCAATAGTCAGTGACACTTGGCACTGAGTCAGATTTCTCAGTTCGCTATACACGTCACTAATTAGTGGTATTTCAGCTTGTCAGGGATCAGATATCAGTTTGCTATATACGTTAGTTCGCTGTAGAGAATTCATTATATATGCACATTTTATATGATAATATAGAGGAGATAAATTGGGTATTTTGTAACAGTTCGTTGTATCCATTTGTTCGCTCCATCTGTGTTCGTTATATCCGTGTTCTACTGTATACTGATGTGGAAAAGATGGTATCTCCCAAAGACACTTTGTATCATGTGTAGATTAAAATCTTAGTCTAAGACACTTACCACAATTAAACCTATATTTTCATTGTCTTCTCTATCTTGAATTGGTAGACATAACACTGAAATTCAAAAACAAAACACTTATCAACAGATTTTCCATTTAACAAAATGTTTTTAAGTGCAAACTTTGGATGATACATGACTGATTAAACTGTCTAGGCCCTATATCAGCAACTAAGGTTGTTTCCCCAATTGCTGTAATAAGCTGCATGAATGAGTCTCAACAATTCTAAGCCCTAGACAAAAGGGATGAGCAAAGATAGATCCCCCCTCCCTTGAAGACTGAAGTCAAGGGAAGCAGACACAGTATTGACCCAGCTCATACAAATCGTGTAAAGCAAAGAGAGTCTTGCCGGAAAGCCAATTAGCTTACATTCACTATAAGCAATGAAGCTTTCTGTCTATGCATCTTCGACCTACTCTTCTGTTTTGCTATCTTTGTTATTACCGGAAATGGAAATACACTGCATGCGTGTCAAGCAACATACCCAATCTTTCATCTGTCACTGCCACCAGGATATATATAAAAATCTTTCATGTTGAAGAAATTAGGCAAATCTATGGTTGGGATAGTTAAACTAAATATACACTGGCCAGAGCTGTCTGACCTTGATTTCAGAGTCAGAGATGATCAATCAATTATTGTTGTATTCCTAACCTTCAAAACTAAGTCTTTTGCTTGAGGCCTTGAGGTTTGCCCATATAGTATTTGACTCCCTAAATCTGTAACATTTAACATCACAGATTCACAGATTACTATAAGGATCCCCTGAATCTCATTCATATTTCACTGTCCGATATTGGAAAAAGCGCCATTTAGGCCCTTCTTAGCCAAACATACTTAATCATTCTTAAACTACATCTCTGTTCTTTACAACAAAAGGGAACATTTGTCATACATGCACCAATGGGGAAAGCGAGATTGTTGCAAGATGCTTTTACCAGTGTTAGCATGGTAACAATTATAGCAAAAAGCCTAATACAGTTTACACTAGATGTGCTTTCATATTTTCATATTTCTTGAATTTTGGAATGAAAATTGCTGTTAACACTTTTGCATTGTTATTGACAGTGGTTCTTTGCAACATGTGTGCATGTATACATGTAGGTGGTAGCTAGTAAAGTGACTTTTACAACAGAATATGAAGGTCAGTCATATTCCTATACTGTGATTACAGATCACTAACAATGGCAAGAAATTGATTTCCATCTCTGTTCCCCAGAGAGGAAATGCAACTGCTGTTGCTAAATGCTAGTCATGATACTGCTACATGCTTATTTGAATAAAATATTATACCCCCATTCCACAAGGTGACGCTCTACTACGCTGTACTCGCTCATTTTTCGGCAATCTAGGGGCACTTACGATGCGATTACGATTAGATAGCGCTCTTGTTGCGATCAAATAGCGATCTATGCGATCCGATAGCAACTTGAAGACCCTTGATCCCAACCAGCAACCCAAAATGTGGCGATCCTGCACATCAGTTCCCGCTCCTTTTGCGATCCAAGGCAATCAGGATGCGATCCAATGGCGCTCTATCTGCGCTCTGATGGCGATCATTGCAATCTAATGCTCTCCACTCCGATCTGATAGCGATTTTAGCGATGGAGATCCATAAGCACTCAATTAGCGCTTTGGGTCCGATCCTAAAAAAACTCGTAACGTTCTGAGGCGCTCATCAGTTCTACGCTTGGTAGCAGAGGGGTAGGTCCTAGTCTTTTGTGGCCATCAGTGGCGCTCTAAGCAGTATAAGGCGATTCGATAGCGCTCTGATTACGACCTTGGCAATCAAGTAGTGCTCTGATTACAACTTTGGCGATCAAGTAACACTCTGATTACGACCTTGGCGATCAAGTAACATTCTGATTACGTCCTTGGCAATCAAGTAACGCTCCGATGGCGATCTTGGCGATCAAGTAACGATCTGACTGCATTCTGGGCGGAGTGCCACGGATCTTTGTGCACGGGAGTCAACAGGCGGCGACAGTGACAATCTTGGAGATCAGCTAGAGATCAGATAGCGGTCCATTAACGCTTTTGGAAATCATAGCGCTCTATATGACGTTATAAGGCGATTTGTAAGAGTGCCACAGAGCGCCGCTTAGTGGAATGGGTTTATTAATGACGCAACATGATCAAGGGTCCTATCCATATTACTTCATTATGGATTAAACTTGGATGACTGTTGACTATGCCATGATGATATTCTGTTTCTTTCTGCATGTAATTCAATTGTTTGTATCATTGTATGTCCCTGTGTCTTTCTGCTGACTGATGGATACTTATAATGAAGGATGCCACCAATGTCATGTATACATACCGAGCTGGCTCTGTTGAATGTCTTCATCAAGGGCTAGTGCAGTGATCACAGGGTCTTGTGGTGAGGAAATGGGCTGGACGATTTGTTGCCGCTGCTGGTATGCTTTCCTGCCAAAGTAATAGATCTGAATTGGAGACTAGCCTAAGATCAGAGATTACAGGCCTGATGGAAGATGTTGGATGAAATAACTGGTTCTGACATTGACCTTATGCTGTCAGCTTGCTGGTACTGCCATGATTATACTACATGTATTTGTCAAGTTGCAAATAATATTTCCATCTGCAATTGACGCTGTTTTACTGAACTGCACAGAACAGAACAATGATAAGATCTTGAATAACTATAAGATAAGTAAAAATAATAGACAGCACTGTAGCTCACCTGGATTATGGCTGGATATGTTGTCAACAACTCAAAATGTCAAGTTAATATAAATCATGCTGCCAACACCAATTTTCAAAGATTGTTTTGCAGTTGAGGTGAGGTGAAATGGGGTTTAGCATCGTGTCCAAGATTATTTCACAAGTCCAGACTAATGCCGACTTATAGGGGGTGTCACAATAAATCGAAATATCGATATTGCTTTTATTTTGTTATTGTTTCACTGAATATAATAAATAATACATCAACTGCTGACTTGTTATTGTATTTGTGAATTAATATTTGTATTTGTTTAGCAAGGTGACAGAAAGTGGCTTCAGAAACAATACATGCCTAAACATATGGTCAAAGCTTCACACATTCATGAAATTCAACATTAGACAATATTAACTGTATTAACTGTATTGCAGAAAGACAAAGCGGTATTTCGAGGTCATAAGAAATATTGGTGTACATGCAATCAGCTCCCCTTAGAATTCTTCACATGATCGGTGCATTAACAATTTGCTCATGTAAATAATTCATGAAAAAAATGTCAAAAATCATAATTTGTGGAGGATAAGTGTAATAGCATAATTTTAGGCTCAAGAGCATAATGGTTGGCATGTCTGAATACATTTATCGTCATATGCAACAATGTGTTAGAGGGGATACTTCATAATATTGTTGCCATGATATAGCTATGATATAATCCTATATATAGTTTCATCTGTCACAGGCTATGACATAGACTCGCTTGGTCTTTGTCAAGGTGACCGAAAAACCCATTGATATTAAATTTTGTCCACGCTATTATGTTAATAACAAAAAGAGAAAAATTTAAATTACATTTTGTTCAAGCAATAAATAACAAAAAGGGAAAAAGGCAGCATGAAAGTTTAAGAACACTGCATCAGAGTATACTATACCTAACAATATTATAATTTCAAAATATGTCTTACTTTTGTGTTGGACAAGAAGAAGAAAATATTGTATGGAACTTATTATATATACTTGTATGGAAGTTATAATTCAAACAGCTCACAGCTATAAAGATGTCAGAGATATGTGGACTAAATGTAGATGTAACCAGTTTGGCAGATGTAAGAAATTTTGAAGAATACAGTTTCTGTATCAGTCAGTTGTATTTTTACAATGGTTGATCTCAAAGTTAAATTCTATACCAAGTTATCATATGACTCATATGATATATACATAAAAGTTCTTTGCAATTTGAATATACAGTCAAACACTGTTGTATAGAACTTAAGGTTGTCTCGAAGTAAAAGCATTGTCCCTTAGTATTCCTTCTGTATTCATCATTATTTGTTGTGTCAAACCTCGGATAACTCAAAGTATTTACATAAGTCCCTTCAACTTCGACTCAACAGTGTTTGACCGTATATGTATATATGAACATGGAAATGGACTGCCATCTCCGTGACATTAACCGTGTGGGAAGAAATAAGTAATCTTACCATGCAAGTCCTTTTGCTGGAAGAGATTTTCTACCATCAGTTTCTACTCGAGCTGTCTCAGGACTCCGCAAGTATACATTTGCTTTTGTCTGAAATGCAAATTAGCAATCATTAAATGTTTGTAGTGAGTGAGTGAGTATGGTTTTACGCCGCTTTTAGCAATATTCCAGCAATATCACGGCGGGGGTCACCAGAAATGGGCTTCACACATTGTACCCATGTCGGGAATCGAACCCGGGTCTTTGGCGTGACGAGCAAACGCTTTAACCACTAGGCTACCCGACCGCCCCTTAAATGTTTGTATGTTTGTAAGGTACACATCAGCGATCATCATCCTTTTTGTTTTACATGTCTATCAGGAACATCACTTTAAAATTATGCATATTAACTCCAGCACGATAGCATGAATATGTGCCATTAACGGAACAATAAAAGGGCATTATCATAGGATACAATTAGGAATAATGTGTAAAATCGATCAATGTCTATCTGTAGAACTCAACACTGGTAGAAACTAACTCACTTTATTCACTTGTCTTTATGATGATAGAAGTTTTCCCAATAAGCTTTTACTCGTCATATTGATACCTAACTACTAGTCCTGTTGATACCTTAATCATTCTAATTTTTGGATGAGAGTATAGGGCTAGTGATCAGAGCTCCAGATAAGCTTTTGGTGTTGTGGGTATTTTACCCATGCATTTTAAAATCATTGGGTATCAGTAGTTCTATCTGGGTATTCAAATTTCTGTTACCCACTAGTTTTTACACATGTGGGTATTTAAGTTAAATATTTAAAAACACTATTCATCTAGTCCCTGCAAACTGGTGTCGTGTGGGTTCGAGAGCTTTATAGGACTCAAAAATACCACCATACTTCCACAAGAAAGTGTCATGGCAAATGATCATGATGTAACTGTCATGGTGGAGTTTGGCAAGGTTGACGGAATGTCCGTTTATTATTTCAAAATAAGTTGCTGATTTGCTAATCGAAAACGCAGGGCTACTTCACAATATTTTGATGATACGCACAAGTTTATTTTTGTAGCGAATCTGTAATGTCCGTTGCGTATTTGATACGCTTGGATATTATTTTACTGCGTATTTCTGCATTTTGTATGCGTATTCTACGCAGATACGCAGCTTACCTGGAGCTCTGAGTGATAGTTTCTAATGCTACTGAAAATCCATTTATCAACCAGGATTTATCTAGATGAAACTTCAAGTCCAAAAATAGATCAGTTCTTTTTTTGTTGCAATATCAGCATGGCTTAAAACTATGATTGTTTATAGGTCAGTACAAGCATGCTGTTATGAAGTATGAACACTCTTGCAAGTACTGTCAGCAACTGGTGGGGACGGTCAAATTGAAAACTGGAAAATGTTACATGGATTCAACTGTGTATGATTCATAATGTCATACAAATGGAAAGATCAATGTCTTCCTGCTAAATGATGTGAATCAAAATAATCTGGCCACTACCTAAATCAATTTCTCTTTTATCAACATCAAATTATAATCTATATGAGAATAGGAAGGCACAAAAGCTGTACCAGTATATATTTCACTCAAATGAGCTGGAGTGACACTGCCATTTTGAATTTTAAAGAAAAGTCAATCTTATCAGGGACAGAAACTTGCAGTAGTCGAAGCCAGTTTCACCGATTTCACTGAAGGCTGGTAGAATTTGGAACACTTTAGGGGTGTTCCCAAACCACCACTTCAGGGTTCACTCTAGGTATTTTCTGACATGGGCCCTTTATGTGAAAATTTCAAATATTCCTGAGGTACATTTGCTGGTACAGCACAATGTTAAAATGCGCCATTGTATTTGAAAATGTGGGCCTTTTTTTCAATTTAGTGGCTAAAAGCACAAGGCTCCACTCTAGAATTATCCCTGCCAATCAGGCTAGCTGATTTTTTAGATTAATTTCTATCCCTGTCTAACACGTGTAACAAGTTGTTGGAAAGTGATATTGATATATTATTTAGGTTTTGATTGTTTGTTGTTTAATGTTACACTCTGCAAAATTCCAGCTAGATAGCAGCAGTCTGTAAACTGGACCAGACAATCCAGTGACTGATATCATGAGCTATGATCCATGCATTTGAGATACAATGACATCCAATCAACAAAGTCGCCGAACTTGACCATGACAGGTCCATTTAGTCACCTCTTTTGAAAAACATTTGCTGGGGATCATTATCCTTACACATAATCTCCATGGGTATTTGTAGTTTTCTAGATGAATTCTAACAATTGACAGCTTACAAAAACCTATGACAAGCTTTGCAACCAAAAACAGGGAATTTCCAATAAAGGACAATATCATGCAGTGTTCGAATCAAAGGGGCTCTAAGTATCCTTTAGGTTAGCTCTCATGGTATTTGAATCTACAGTGACCCTACATCTTTTACTCCAAGAATTTCATGCTCAAATTTAAACACTGCTATGCATACATCATTATGTGGACTAGCCCTAATCATGCTAATAGAAAACTTAGTTGTTTCCCCTGAAGACTAAAGACCCGTGAAGACCCGGGGTAGAATAGCTCTTCAGCAACCCATGCTTTCTGTAAAAGGCGACTATGCTTGCTGTAAGAGGTGACTAACAGGATCGGGTGGTCAGGCTTGCTGACTTGTTTGATGCATGTTATCCTATCCCAATTGCGTGGATCGATGCTCATGGTGTCAATCACTGGATTGTCTGGTCCAGACTCGATTATCTACGGAACGTCGTCATATAGCTGGAATATTGCTCAGTGCAGCGTTAGACAACAAACAAACAAAACGAAGACCCTAAAACTTAATGATTCATATACATATCTAAATCTTGCAAAACATTTAAATCAATCTTCACCTATATTTTGTTAGCTACTGCAGAAAACATCATACGAAATTACTTTAGTCCTTTTTATCCTAATAAACAAAAAATTATTGCTAGAGCTTAAGTGACAGCTGGCCATGATCAGCATTACAATGTGCTGAGCCATAGGAAGGTTATTATCTCCAACAACCTGTACCAATTGCCTGCTGTTTACATGGCCTTCAACAGCAGATGAGTACACCACATCTGTCATTAAAACCATCAAGGAATCTATAATGCTGGGAAAAGTGGAAGTTTACTGATAAACTTAGGATGATGACGCAAATAAGTCTGCTGCACAAAGAGCTCTCTCTGTGTCGTCCCTTGATGAGATGTTTCATCAGTTTTGCAAATCAAGGCTATTGGGATTGCAATCGGTATGTGCTGCAGCTGTTTCCATATAGCAAGGCAATGCCATGGACTGGCGGAATAGCCTAATTACATGAAGATATTTCAGTCCTGGTTATCATACATCACCATGCCTCCAACTGGTTACATAACATTAAACAAACATTTCATTTCATTTTCTCAATCAAGCAAATATTCTTATCGTTTCCCTGATATAGTCATGTCACTGACAAGATTGATCAAAGGCTGCTTGATGATAATCAACATTTGGAGCAGGCATTGCAATCATTCTCAGGGGAATGTTTTCAAAATAACCATGTTTGACAAAAAAGCATTAATGTATTATGATTCTATTTGATTTTACTATCCTGGACAGAGGGTGCTTTAGCTGATTAAATATGTTCTTTATGCTTTTGTATCCTTCATCTATGATCACACAATCAAAGCGCTTTAACTATAAATAAAAACAAATAAAAGTCACACTATTTACCTTTTGACTGATCTGACTCAAATAGTTCACCTATACACTGATCTGACTCACATGGTTCCTCTATTCACTGATCTGACTCACATGGTTAATCTATTCACTGATCTGACTCACATGGGTCACCTGTTCACTGATCTGACCCACAAGGGTCACCTGTTCTCTGATCTGACTCACATGGGTCACCTGTTCACTAATCTGACCCACATGGGTCACCTGTTCTCTGATCTGACTCACATAGTTCACCTGTTCACTAATCTGACTCACATGGTTCACCTATTCACTGATCTGACCTACATAGTTCACCTATTCACTTATCTGACTCACATGGTTCACCTGTTCACTGATCTGACGACCTACATAGTTCACCTATTCACTGATCTGATTCACAAGGTTCACTTATTCACTGATCTGACTCACATAGTTCACCTATTCACTGATCTGACTCACATGGTTCACCTATTCACTGATCTGACTCACATGCTTCACCTATTCACTGAATGATGCATATGATTTTTATGAATATTTCAAACTCAGTGCCCTTGGTTGGCAAATTGGGAAATATTGCTTTACTGTTCCTATTTTCTTAAATTCAGATGTATATTAACCTTGTATCTAAAAACATATCTAAGTCATAGCATTAGTTATCACTATATCAGCATGAATTGTGAAAGGACAAGGTACGATAAGGGTCCTTTTGCGCCCACATGACATCCATAATTTAAGAATTGTTTGTTTGTTGTTTTACGCCGCACTCAGCAATATTCTAGCTATATAACAGTTCATAAATAATTGAGTGTGGACCAGACAATCCAGTGACTGACATTATGAGCACTGATCTATGCAACTAGGATACAATGACATGCATCAACCAAGTCAGAGCCTGACCACCCGATCCCATTAACCGCCTCTTACAACAAGTGTAAAATAAGAACTGATTATACTTTGTTAATTTCAACAATTGCATGTTTGGGACTTCTGACATCACTAAATGCATAGTTTTTTTTCTAATATTTGAACATGAGTTTCACAGGAGATAAAAACATGTATGTATGTATGTATGTATGTATGTATGTATGTATGTATGTATGTATGTATGTATGTATGTATGTATGTATGTATGTATGTATGTATGTCTTTAGAAATAACATCCTTTATATTCCTGATATTTTTCATTTGAGAAATTTGTTGTTAAAGCAATTGAATATCTCCATCAAACACTTTGATCTTTGTGTCTATTATCTGATGTGTAAAAAATATTTTGTTGTACTGAGCCTAACAATTGTATTATCTGGTATGAGTGACCATATTTTCAGTACAGTCGTGATCCACATAATGCTTGAGACTGTCCTTTGGACAATGATAATGTTATGACAATGATTCAGTTTGT